TTTTAGAATTTAATTGTAAAAACTCGATTCCCAAATCTATTATTTTTGTTTTAGAAGAAATTATTACCACCCTCTGAGTACCCATACATTCAACCATAATAACGTAAAAACGCAGCATGAATAAACAACGGCCAAGGGGAGCACAGCGTCATGCATGAAGCCCGAGAAGCCCGGGCAATTGGCGCCTCGCAGTCGCGCCCAGCCGGAGCGCCGGCAACCCGGCCGTGGCCGTGGGGCAGGCGCCGCGACGTTGCGGCGCCGCGCGCCGCCGTCCTCTACTTCTCAGTGTAAGCAGGCACACGGAGAATTCTACGCATCCTGTGGAGCCAGTAAATTCATTGGAGTGAGACACGTGGTTAGGCTAGGGCGACCCGGGTCGCGCGGGGACTGCGGGCGGGCGCATTTAGAAACCGCGTGTGAACGTTGCATTTCGGATCGGCGTGAGCGTTTTAGGAACCGTTTTTCGTAAGAGCAAGTCTCAACTTCATGTCTCTATGGCCTCACCGGGTTCCTGTGACATTTCGCATACTCCTAGGATTTCGCCCCAAAATAAACGTCGCTACTGCTGCGTGAAAGACTGCCACAGTCGTGAAGGTGACTCAAGCGTCCAACTTTACCGCTTCCCTTCAAGATTTTGGGAAGCGACACGGCGACAGAAGTGGATTACTGCAGTGCGAGGCATCAAGTAAGTGAATTTTACATTAATTGTTGAAGTGAACGAAAATATATGTGCAGGTGTGGAAAGTGGTCTGACAAACTCGTTTTGCAGACTACTCGGCAAAATAATATATTTGTACAAGTTGTTTTACGGGTCTCTGAGACAGCCACATAGAGAAATACGGTGGGAAAAATCGGGCCGATTGTTGGGGAGGGGGGGCTTCGCTGAGACATCGAGGTATCAGGCGACCAGGTCTTCAAGCGAGATGCCCGTCGCCCCGTTCCGGTACTCATAGTTGTAGGCGTGCATTTGGTTGCGACCGCGAGAGCCGTTCGGCATGCGCGGTGGCAACCAAAACCTTCCAAACCTGCGAGCTTTCAAATAGTAGATTTTCGTGGAGAGCAAGTTTTGTTTGTTTCGGCTACCAAATTTAATCCTGAGTCTGGTAACGAATGTGACGGCGTGCAAAAAATAGGATGCAAAAGGTTTTCTTTAGAAAAAGCCCATGCGAAACGTAAATATCCTTCTCGCACGTGCACTTCGTTGCCTGTCGCCTTTTTACACCAGGCTTGTGTACTGTTCTCTAGCATGCAGAGTTCGGTTTTAATTGCCCACATTTTATTCTAGTGTCGTGGGGGCGTCGGGAGAAGAAGAGGACGGTTGAGCGAGGCGCGAGCGGGGGCCTGCCGGCGAGAAAAGAGGAAGAGCGTGCTGCACGAGGCTGGGGCCGGGCAGGAACGATTGAGCTGTTCTGGCTGGTCCGGCCCATGTCGATCCCCGGAGCATTCCACCAGCGAGGTTTGGATCAGGACTGGCGGAAATGGCGAGCCCTGGCCATACCGTCCTAGGCCATGACGATCCAGGAGGGGTTCCCCAGCGAGACTCTGACTGTGATAGCCCGGAACAGCTAGCCTACGCAGCGCTGGCGTGGGAAGGACGATCCGCAGGCCTGGACACGGACTCCGACTGCGAGCTATGAACGACGGGAAACAACTAGGGTCGGCGGGTCCGGACTGCCGGGTCTCGAAGACGGGCAACCGGGAAGTACAGTAAACCCATTCGCTGCTTCTCGTTGTGTTGTGTCTCTTCCTGGGAGACGAGCGAAGACAGACCGATCGGGCGGCGATTATTATAGAGCGACCCCACAAGTGGTGAAGACAACTCAAACTGGTGTTCAAATAACAACTCTAGAATTTGATCTAAACACTTCGACCTATCAAGGCTTCGATGGCCTTATAAACCCGCATAAAATAAACAGGGACATGGCGCGCACGTGCACACGGGAACTGCTGAAATTGGGGTCGCTGCCGCTCGCTACGGCCTGACGGCAGACCGGCCGCCCCATTAACAGAGACACCTCCGCTTGTAGAGCTGAATGCAGCACTTTCGTGGCTCCGCCTGGCCATTGCCAGCTGGCTATCATGCACTTGCGCTATCTTGCCCGAACGACACATAAAAGCATGATATCGCACAATGTAAAAGATCTCACTCGAAGTTTCGATCGATCATGACACCGCCTTTGTTGCACTTTTTGAGTGATGACTCATTTGCGAAAGGTACGGTGAAGTGCGCGGAAAGATAAAATTGTTTGTTCGACTGGGTGCTGATGAGGATCATGCGAATCACTTAATTTTGTCGCAGCCGTGCGAACGTTATAGTTGACGTAATCATAAAATTCTATGCCCACCGGCACCAACTTGGCAATGGGAGCCGAAATCCACATGAGCCTTTCTATGCCACAGAGAGAGGAGCGCTAACCGTTTGGAGCGCTTCCCCAACTCCGACGTTACCGGGCCGCCTCGAGGCGCCATCAGTCTCGCCGTCTGCCGGTAAGCGAAGATCGAGCGCCGAGGAGAAACGAAAGCGACCCCCCTCCCCCTCTCCCATATTCCCTCTGCCCTTCAAAGCTGGTTGAGACATTGCAGAGGGCGCTGGCAAAGAGGAGCCTGCAAGAACAAGCACCCCCCGCCCCCCTCCCCCCCACCCCTTCTTCCTCCACCCTCCACAGGACCCAGCGCGCTTACATGGCGGAGGAGCAGGCGAACGACACCCAAACCAACCTTGAGCCCCACACAGTAGTTGCGAAGCGGGAGTCTCCTCGCACACTAAGATGGCCTGGGAGCTTACTCGTCATCAGGTAGACTAATTCAATCACCGGACTCATATCTACCCTAACCGCTCATTCACACTGGAAACGGATACGCGTTCGCAAAGCGCTTGGGAACGCGGTGGTATAAAGATCCAGTACAATTGCACGCGCACTCGATGGCATCAAGTGCGCGTGCAATTGTACTGGATCTTTATACAGCCGCGTTCGCAACCGGTTTGCGAACGCGGATCCGCTTCCAGTGTGAATGAGCGGTAAGACTCACAACTTGATCCAGGCTCATGCTCATGAGCCTTAAAACTCACAATCACACTCAAGAGATCTCAAAACTCACGCTCATGAGTGCTTCACTTAGAGCTCAAGCTCACACTCACACTTATGAGTACTCAGAACTCACGCTGACACTCACGCTCATCGGTTTTCAGAACTCACACTCAAACTCATGAGTTTTTAGGACTCAAACTCACATTCAATGGTTTTCAGAACTCACGATCACACTCACGATCAAACTCACGCTCACGTGTTCGCAGGACTCGCACTCACACTCACACTCATGAGTTCTCAGTACTCACGATCACACTCGCGATCAGACTCACGCTTGTGAGTTCTCGGGAATCACACTCACACTCACACTCATGAGTTCACATAACTCATGATCACACTCGCACTCACACTCATGAATTCACATAACTCACGATCACACTCACACTCGCACTCACAATTTTTCGAGACTCGCGGCCTCACTCACGATCACCTCAAATCTGACGGTGAGCGTGAGTGATCGTGAGTGATCGCACTCATGAGTGAGAATGCCGAGGTATGGGTGCCACTTGACCCCAGCAACAGAAACCTCGATCGGCGATCCAGCCTACATACAATAGAGATCAGTAGCTGCGTTTGATTTACCTGCACCTTCTGCACCGCTGTAGAAAAGTGTAGGGCGGTGTACTTCCGGTCGTATCTCTATACACATACCGGAAGTAGACTGGCCTACACATTTCTGCACCGGTGTAGGAGGTGCAGGTAAATTGAGCGCAGCTAGTGTCTCCGCCTCTCGCCGTAAAAAACATACCTCCGGCAAGGAAAAAGTTAATCGAAATTTGAAGGTTCATCTTTCGAAGGGCGAAAGGAGCAGAAAAAATTTCCACGATGTTGCTTCCAAACGAACTGCGCCTCTAATCCTTTCAGGAAAAACAGAAAGGCGAGTCAATCTAAAATACGAAGGCGAGTCAAAATATAGATTCACACTAAATCCTCCATTCTGAGGTATTACCCAACGAAACAGCGCGAAGACCGGAACAGTGAAAACATATTAGGAATCAAGAAAGATCGACTGACCTGTCTCTATCCTGATGATGAGAACAATGACAATGCATGGTTCATGCTGCGGGCTCATGCTTGATGCCGTGCTTTGAGGTGATTCTGTTTCCGTTTCTGCTTTGACTATAAGCGCCACATGCGGAGATCTAGAGAACTGGCTGAACTCACTTTTTCTGCTCGGCTGTCGAGCGCTTGGACAGGCCGGAGCAGAGTGCGTGAAAAACCTCGGAGGCCATGATTCATGTTTTGACTGGCCGCTAAAGAGCGGCGCTGTAGTCGTATCTAGTTCGTCTCGGCAGACGCGAGCGGTCCGGGGTTCAAGGGTGAGTCTCCTAAATGAGTATTCTAGTAATGTTGGTGCTATCCGTGCTCAGGCGCGGGATTACTTTTCGTGTAGCTATGGACTTTTTCCACATACCGACGGCACCAGGCGGTGGCTGCACGAACTAAAAATCGAGGAAGTAACCTACCTGTGCTATTAATCGAAAATGAGTGCTGCGCTACCATTTTTTTCGCTCTCTGAGCTGCGGCTCGTGTCCAACGCGACTTTAAAGAGGGACATCTGTGGCGTCCACCCAAACGACGTGTTTCCCTTTCCGTCGACGTTCTTTTTTTGTGTAACACAATTGTATATATGCTGCAGTTACGTGTTCTACTCGCTGATATACAGCCGGCCTCCTTCCGAATTTCCTCGATTTTCCGTTCCGACTTCCGCCGCTTGGCATCGGGCGCTCGCGCGTGCGCAGAACGCTTCTCGGAAAAGGTCCATTGTCACACCTCTGCTTCTAGTCCACCATAAGAAGATATATGCTTCGCAAGAAAAAAAAAGGATGGCTACCCCAAACTCCTCCTCCTCCATCTTCCCCTTCTTGTTTCTAATATTTTTTTTCTTTGTGAAGGCATCAATCAACATACCCGTCAAGAGCGGCTGAATGTACATAGCAGTTGATGTTGTCGTCCAGGAAACGTTCGAGGGTTTCCATGAATGGCTTTGTGGCTCCGAATGCTCGAATGGACACCGCCCCCGACACCGTCTCGCCGAAGTGAGTGAAGACGGGCGATCGAGTCACGGACTGCATGCGCCGCACCTGGCGGAACGCCGGCAGCGAAGCCACCTGCGCAAGTTGTAACCCCTTGATGACGACCACGCCATAATCTTGGCTAGGCTCGCTTCAAATCCAACAATCAAAGCAGAGGTTACATACGTTGTACGAATGTTTATGAAGATTCATAGGCGACTGAAACATGGCAGCCTATGCTGGTAACTAACTCGGGGGTCTTTGACACGCACCATAAATCATACGAACGCATGAAGAAGTGAAGCAGGGCTGCGTCCCGTCAGCATCGAAACCCGTAAGGACTATTCATAAGTAAAAGCACCGCAAGGCACGATAATCTTCGAGATACCACAACCCTAAAGCCACTGTCACCCTGCAGATACACCATACGAAAGACCGTCAGCTGTCTGAGGGGCATGTCTTTCTTGTATGACGGCACTTTTACATTGGTCATGCAAAAACTGCCTGTTCACACGTTCGAAGCTTACAAACAAACGCGCTTCGAACTTGCTTGGGAGGTATCAGCGCATAATTCTTTTATCATGTTTGTAGCAGACACCGCGTCTTTTGTATGATCTATGAGCAGTTTGAATGCGGTTAAAGGGTCCTCACCGTAAGTCCCGTAAATAGAAGCAAGACGACAGCGACGATGATGAGAAAGTATGCCGACGGAAAGCAGATGACGACAACGAGCATCACTATGGATGCAAGGTCGGTCACATTCATCGAAAGGAGGAAGGGCACTTCCTTGTCTATGAGGTCGACGTCGCGGCTGAACCTGAAACGAGCGAAGGGGGAACGTCAGGGCCATGTAAATCAGTGGAGAAAATGGCCACACGTAAGGTCGGCATCAGCACACGCTAAAACGGTTTACGCCCAAACAGGGTGTTTCAGAGACTTACACCCATCAGTACACCCTTTCAGTACCATTATTTTGAGTAATACGCCCTTTTGAATAGCGAGAAACGGTGTTGTTGTTGCATGGAATACCCTTCATTTTTAAATGGTGTAAAGAGGGTACGGAAAAGGGTGTTGTGTTACGGTAAGGTAAGGTGAACACTTATTTCGAAGGTTCACATTTTTTGTTAGCAGCAGGTGCATTCACACCTGCTGCTAATAGAGTTAGCGGAGGTCTTTTCAGCGACTATGTCGATTAATAATTGCATAGACCAATACTTTTTACTTCAAGATACATTTCTTCAACTTAGATATACTATTATGTTTTAACTTAAATATTCACGAGAACAATCAGCAGCATGCATGTAACCGTCATAATGTCTGCACATAACTGTCTGGATTTTAATTGGACTGTGGAGCAGAAAACACGATCATGATTCGTGAGTGATTCATTGTGTTTGTATTTGCCTTCTCTGTGCATGTGAGAATCTTATAAGGGGCTTGTCGCTTGTAAGCTTGTTGCCCGTAAAAAGTTATCCTTGGGAGGCCACTAAGATCGCCAGCATCCTATTTCACGGTTTTAATCAGCGTGCTAAGGGGGTTGCAGTGACACCCTAATACCCCTGTTGTGTTGGCACCCTTAACCGCGGTTACGCGTCACCACAGTTACGCGCGTGCACTGCTTTGATGTGTGCTCAAGATGCTCAAGCGCACCTTCGCCCATAGCTTTGACTGCATAGCCACAGAACGTTGTCCACAAGTATTGCGCGCTAACTCTGGCTTAGCGTAACTCCAGTTAAATGTGGCCGTGTTATAAGGGTATTAGAGTGCAGTCCCTGGGACCAGGGTGAAATTGAATGAGAAAGAAAGGGCAACTACCCCCGCCCCCCCTCTCCGACGAAACCAGATATAAATTTTGTAGTGTGTACAAGATGCACGCGAATTAAGTCCCACTTAGGGTCTGGATGACTTTGAGGGTAAAGCGGCGAGCGTGATCACCTGTTGACGATCCGTCCCATAGAGGTTTTGTCGAAGAAAGAGATGGGAGACCGCATGACGCTTTGCAGGAGTTGACTGTGGATGGACGATGCCGTCCGCATGGAACCGAGCACGAATAGTACAGAGTAGATGAAGTTGAAAATGCTCATTCCAACCAGCAGGGCTCCGAAGCCAACCATGTACGTCGCCCTCATGAAAGGGTCCGGGTGCGAAGACCACTCGCTGAGCCACAGGCCTGAACCATACTTTGAAATAAAATAAAATTATTAGTTTTGCTGGTGTGTTTGACGTTGGACGGAATCATGGCGAAACATTATTAATCCGGCTAAAAATGAACGTACCATTTCATTTATTGCGGGTACTTAGAATTTTCTTTTAGTACAAAAACACAACAAAATATAGGCTGAAATGCTATTTTTGATGTTTATATTTATAAACTTGCTCACATCTGAGTACAAAGGCAATGCTAATAATAAGAGTGCTAAAAATGTGATGAGCATTTGGCACATTAGGAAAGTGTGATATTTTTCGCACTTTGTTTCAAAACCGACGCATATATTAGTGGCGTTTCGAGCTGCTTTTCTAGTTTAGTTGCTTACAAGGTAAAAAAGATATCTTGAAAATACTGTTTTAACGCTATAACTTAGTTAGAACACAAAACTTCACGAAAGTTATTATTATCAGATTGGTTGTAATTAAAGAATGAAAGACATTTACAAATCCCTGTAATACGAAATTAGAGCGCAGCTCTTGAGGAGGAGGAGGGAAGGGTATGCCCTCCTCCCGCTCCTCATTTCCTCCTCCTCCTGCTGCTCACCTCCTCTATCTTCGTACCCTCCCGTCCTCTGCCTCCCAGTTTCCCTGCGAAATTTAGCTGAAAACTTGACGCCACATGACCTCAACACCAATCCAGTTTACCCGCTAAATTTAGCGGGGAAAATGACGTCACATGACTTGGTGTCACGTTACCTATGAACAAATTCAGTTTCGCCGCTATATTTAGCGAGAAATTGACGTCACGTGACCTCAACAGCAATTCAATTTCCCGCTTAGGTTAGCAGGGAAACTAAAGTGATATGTAGGTCTGTGATGTCAATTTCCCGCTAAATCTAGCTGAGAAACTGAATTTGTTCACTAAACCTAGCAGATAAACTGAATTTCCCTGCTAAATCTAGAGAAGAAACTGAATCTGTCCGCTAAATTAGCGAATTGAATTTCCCCGCTAAATGTAGCGGGGAATTAAATTGATGTTGAAGTCACGTGACGTCAATTTTCCCGCTAAATTTAGCGCGGTTACGCCGACGCACACAGCGACGCTGCGAAACCCGAAAACGGGAGCCTAAGAGGTGCACTCTAAAAAATAGTAATGACTGAATTAACAACAAGAAAACATTCCGGCGACAATTTTCAACCGAAAATTAGTACTATTGGATTTTGCGAATGATTCAATGCTAATTATAAATCACCTCCGCATGACGAAAATAGCTAGCATGCGGAGGTCATGCGAGGTTTTTGATATTCCCGCATCGTTTTATATTTTATGTATAGGAAACAAAACTATAATTGACCGATAAATACGATCACCGTACGCTGCCTTTTCATGTTGCGTCTGATGTCTAAATAATTGAATTAGCTCGGAATTTCGTTGTCATTGATATTACAATTATATAGACCCTTTCAGGCAACATTTCATGGGCGCCGCCATCTTGGCGTCACGTGACCCTGCCACCATAGCCGCCCTTCAGTTTCTCGCCGTTCCTCCGCGTTGTGTGCTGCGCCGGCCACTACCGGAGCTTTGATTTCGCGTTTTTTTTACGTCCCGCGTAGAAATCGTGCGTTTTCTTTAGGTCTTTTCGATATTTCGGGCTTTCATTTAATCATTTGGTATCTATATGTCAACATAGCTCTTGTATTTTCTTATTTATGAAATGGAATCGGACAGCGAATGGATCGGCGATACAAGATTATGGCTTTAGAGGCGATGTAAGTTCATCCCATTCTAACGTTTTTGTTCTAAGGGCAGTCAACACAATTGCGACATATACAAAGTTCAACTAACGCAGTGAGGCTATCGCAGTCATGCTTCTCGCTGCATGCGAGAAGCATGCAGCGAGAAGTCTGTAAAGCCGACCCGCATGTAGGCGATTTAGCGTGCGACGAGACGAGCGACGGCGACAACGACGAGAGTCGGCGACGAAGATTTCTCACTGTCGCCTGTTGCATCGCTCGGTTTTTTGGGTTTTTAGAAAACATCGCTCACCGTCTAGGTCGCTTGCTCCCGTCGCATCCATGCGGTTTGCCTCGTCGCGCGACTGCCCGAGCGGAAGAGGGTCACCGTCGCGTGTCTCGTTGCTCTCCGAATCGCTTGCATGCGGTTTATACTTAATATCGAGGCGCCAATGCTTCAGTGCTGTGTGCATGGAAATTAATTGAGTATAAACCGCATGTAAGCGATTTGGCGAGCGACCAGATAGGCGATAGCTACCCGCTTCGCTGTCGCTCAGTCAGTCGCGCGACGAGGTAAACCGCATGGAAGCGACGGAGCAAGCGACCAAGACGGTGAGCGACGTTTTCTAGAAATCCCAAAACCGAGCAGTGTGACGGGCGACTGTGAGAAATCTCCGTTGCTCGTCTCGTCGCACGCTAAATCGCTTACATGCGGGTCGGTTTTACGGAAACGAGTGCGCACATGCAGCGAGAAGCAAGACTGTGATAGCCTTACTGCGTCAGTTGCAATTTACATATGTCGCAATAGTGTTGACTGCCCTTTATTAGCGACCAAAACGTAAGAATGAGATGAACTTACATGGTCATTGAAGCCTCATTATCTTGTGTCGTCGACCCATTCGCTGTCCGATTCCATTCCACAAATAAGAAAATACAAGAGCTATGTCGAAATATAAATATCAAATGATTAATGAAAGTCCTTAGTAAAAAAAAAGACCTAAAGAAAATACAAGATTTCAACGCGGAACGTACAAAAAACACGAAAACGAGGCTCCGGTAGTGGCCTGGGCAGCACACAACGCGGAGCAACGGCGAGGAACTGAAGGTCGGCTATGGCGGCCCGGAAAGCGCGCGATGGGCGCGCCGACTGGTGGCAGCTTGGGTAACTGACTCGCTGAAAGCGTCTATACTGGTTATTTCTAAATTCAAACGTAAAATTCTTCTGGTCATGAATTTTTCCAGCCTCCGATGGTGAACTTGGCAATTACTATGTAGTGAAAATTGCGGGCAGCCATGAGTTTTATAATCATATATGCAATATAAATGATAAAAAAGGAGAAAAAAAAAACGCACCAACCTCAAAACAATATGCCACGAAAATCGCGATTATTGCTGGCACGAGGAACTTCCAGCCTGCCCTGTTCAGGTACTCAGCGTAGATGTTCCACTTGACCTGTTAAGGACATGCACCATTTTCTACTAAGCCAGACTTCAACATCCAATACCCTGACAACCGCGACGCCGAAAACGTCATTTCGGCGTCGCGGCAAACATGCTTAGAAAATGTCTTCAGACAGTGTTAGTATTACCGTTGCACAAGAAAGAAACTCAGAGACTGCCTGCAGCAGACTGTCTTGCGCATGACGCAGTAGCATTGCGGCCGCGGCTTGACAGCTATGGCATAGCTTAACGAAGGAAACGCACCTCATTAAAACTTTGGTTTGGGCTATACTTCGTCTCACCCTACGATGGACTAAAGGCCAGAGCCACGGGCCGCCAGGTCCAATCACGTTAAAAGCTAAACTATGACACGCTTAGCGTTGATTAGGTTTGGACGAATACTGCTTCAAATCCAAAAACATTGCATCATTTTTATAGCTTTGACGCTGCAAAGAGACAGTACGTCGTGGCTTTTTTTGTAATGCAAAATTGTTGAGTCACTCATTGCTCGATCCGAACCCCTGTCCGCCCATTCCCATCAGTGATCCGAGACGGGGACACCGATACGTGCATCGAAGCAAAATACCGCGCAATGTCTAAGTGGCTCGTGATTGGATCTGGCTCTTAGTAGCTTCTGCCTTTAGTCCATCGTAGGGTGAGACGAAGTATAGTTGGTTCATGGTAGGTATAAGGTTTAAAAGCGCAAACAGGCGGGAACAATAGAAAATAACACAAACGACAGGGACAAGGCGCTACTCTCAACTGATTTATTGCAAGACCGTTCAACGATTATATGGACATCTCAGGTACCGTTTATATTTCAAACAACGCCAACAGCCAATAAAACACCTTACAGACACCCATCTAGATAAATCACTTCTTTATCTAGTAGGCTAACAGATGGCGCGCTGATGCACTTGTCATTCTTCTTTTTAATAAAGAAAGCCTCTATAATCTCCCGCTCTGTTTTTTCTTTCCTTTTTTTTTTCTTCAAGAACGTTGTTGACTCTAGAAGCGGCTCGCAGCCACAACGCTTACAATGCTCAGACAGATGACCCCCCGAATTGTTGCGTACAGATAGTTTGTGTTCTCTTGCCCTGCCATTAAAACTGCGTCCTGTTTGTCCCATATAAAATTTTCCGCAACTACGCGGTATCGGGGGACGGGGTGTTTCAAAATTCTGCAGGTACCAGCAGTAGAAGTTTTTAGAGCTTTTAGAATTTTATCTGGTTTCTACTGCCGTTAGCGTCAGTGGGCAGTTTTTTATACAAAAATGTGGTGTTTGTATTGGTTCGCCCGTTGCCCCTGTTTTATGTGACATTTTTTTAGCATCGTTGGACAAGCGGATCTCTGAAGGTCTTCCATAATTACATATAGTAAAGACATTTAGGTATGTTGACAATTTCCTTGTAATTTTAAATACTGATATTAATTTGGATGAAGTTGTTATGAAAGTTGTCAGAGCCCTCACAGAGGCATCAGGAGGTCTGAAGGATCATATTTTCTTTTTTTTTTTCCTTCAAGTGCCCTTTTTGTTTAGCAATGATCTGAGCCGTCAGTGAAACACCTAGAGATTATTAATGGATCCTGCATTATTAAGCTCTAAGTCGTGCGGCAGCTGCACCTTTGATACTGCGCTATAAGAACTGCCTGCACGTCTACTTACCCGCAAAACTCTCAAAGAGCCAATCTCTTCGATCTACGAAATCAGCTCAGCGAATGACGGGGCGTAACATCTGTTTAGACCTCAGAATGAAGCCTGCGCTGTGGCATTGCGCAATGCGAAGCCTCATGCTTGCATTGCGTAATGTCACAGCCCAGAGCTAATTTCGATGTCTGAACAGATGTTCTGCCTCATCATTCGCTGAGTTTATTTCGTAGATCGCAGAGATTGGCTCTTCGAGTGACTTGCGGATCGACACACGCATAACAAAGGCAGAACTATTTCGCTGGTGAAGCGCGTGCGCACCATTCTTAAAAATACGGATTCCATATAAAGGTGTACCTGCTAAAAACTTAGCATCTTGCATTTCCAAGATCAATTTATTAATGTTCTGCAGACGTTTACGAGCGAGTATCTTAGAAAAAGTGTACATGTAACTATATCACCAATAATATTAATATTATTATTATTACCAACTGTTTCACCAAGAAGAAAAAATTGTCATTATATATTTCAACAGCATACATTAAGTCAGCCAGAGGATGGCGACACTCTTACACGCTGTAGATTAGAACTTTAGTCAGCGCAGTACGTCAGGTAGCCCGGGGTCTTTAACGTGTATCACGCAGTAGTGATAGTATACACCGCACGCCGGTATGCGATGCTCATCCAGATCAAAACGGGCAACAATGGGGATTGAGCCCAGCGGGATCCTGGGTTCTGCATGGAGAGCTTTCACCCTCCGAGTGTTTCACAAAACAAATTGGTCGTTATTTGTTCAGACAATAATAGTTTAGCCTACCAGAATATGGCGACATTGTTACCCATTGTAGAGGAGAAATTTAGCAAGTGCAGTAGGACAGCTATCATGGGGTCTTTAACGTACATCACGCAGTAGTGATATACGACCGCACGCCGGTACAGTGCTCATTCAGGTAAAAATGGGCAGGAGAGATGTTGTCTTTGTCGTTGTTTATACCTTTATTTAAGACATTACTGTACAGAGATGTCTCAGGGGACATGGCAAAGGGTATGAATGTTTAATGGGGCCATGCCACCCTTTTGGCAGCAACGGTAGCAAAAACGTGAAACACATGAGGAGTGACACAATTTCACTCTAAACTAAAAATCTATACAAAACAAAACAAATGCATCACAAAACAACATAGCGTGAAAAGATATTTGCTAGTTACCAATCATTGTGAGTAAATGCTCTTTTACAATATTTGTATAGTGATAGGGTGATCGTACGCAATCCAATGTAGCTAAAATATACGGGTGCTGGTTTAAAAGATCTGGTATCAGATAACTCAACCTGTGGTTTCTATAATTAGTTCGCGAACGCGATTTCAATATTCAATGTCACTTTAAACTATACGGGCTATTTTTCGCGTGGTACTTGGCATGGAACGACAATTTATCGAGCTGAAATTGCCGCTAATTTTTTTAATCATAGTTTGTATTTATGCAGGTCTCTTACGTTGAGTATTTGGTATTTCCTAAATTATGGTGTGGCACTTTTAAGAGGTTGTATGTTACTGATTGCTTGCAATGCACGCTTTTGTATGGATAAAATACGGTCTAGATTTGTTTGGGATGTTTAAGACCACACTAAAATGCACTGGCTCTTGCGAAAGTGCACGAGGGCGAAATATATACTAATCCAGGAATCCTGGGATTGAACCCAGGATCCCTGGGTTAGTATTTCATAACAGGTATACTCAGACACCGGTACAAACTTTTGAGAGTAAAAAAAAAAAAAAATGAAAGATTGGAAGTTGAATGACAGCGAACTTACGCTTCCAGTGTTCATTCGTTCCTCATCTGCAAGTTCCGCTTCATCAATGACATCCTTTTCTACTGATTCTTCATTTGGTCTAAAAGAGAGTTGAACGCAGCTATTAATTCATGTTTCATAAAAAATTAAGCTTTGTTCTTGCAGACAGAGCTCCTTCGCTCTGTCAAAGTGTTCGTCTTGTGCTACGTCATTAAAAAAAAACGATTTGTTTTGAAAACAGGAAACACAAAATCTATGCTGTGATTATTTGCGCACTGCTTACGCAATTATAATAAACATGAAATAAAAAAAAAAGGTATGACATCACAAACCGTTCGGTTTTCGCTGTGGCTTTCAAGTTACTGCTACTTGAATGTTTTTTGGCGTGTTTCTTGAGGAAGGCAGAAAAATCGCTTCCATCGTTTTCCAGGAGGTCCCTGTAAGTGCCTTGCTCCTTGATGCCGCCTTTGTCAAGCAACACAATCCAGTCCACTTGGGGAAGGACAGTGACCGAATGAGTTACAAGAATTCTCGTCTGGAATAGTAAAACATGCACACATTAAACAGAGCCACAAGTTCTTGTTAACATTGGGATCTGCTCGTAATCATCTGTTTTCTTTTCATGACATGCCTGCGGTGTGTTGGAACGGCGTTTTCCGAAACCAGTATAAACCATTCTTCAAAGGAGCCATGAAACGATTTTTCTACTTTCGCTAAATACTACTTAGAATCACTCCCTAACGCTAATAACCGAATAAACTTGCCTTGGGTTTTTTTTTATGCAGTGGAAGTAGCCAAAAACAGAGGATGCTTAAGCTTCGCCTTTCAGAGTGGAACGCAAAAGCGTTGTAGGGCTTGGTTCGCGTCGGTTTCTCATTCGCTTCTCATGCTCTTCCTGCCAGTCAGCAGCCATTGTGACGGACATGGCCTGGTCAGTAGCGTCTCTGGATCGCGTGGGTTGAAATCCCGCCGAAAACGTTTTAAATGTTTATTTAATGCAAATTAATTACTTCATAAACTGAAATCTTTTGAGACATGCGGCGACCTTTAACTCGCATTACATGTCACGTTTTTTAATGGGTTTTATTCCACGCGTGATGTCCCGTTTCACGTGAGCGTTGTAAGTTGTTTGAAATTTCCGAGCGGGGTCAGGTGACTGCGACGTCATAACCCTATTGATCAATTAGGGTTTTCCCGTCACAACGTGACCGACGCCAGCTTTTCTGCGACAAAAGCTCCTTAAATGCCCGTTCGCACACTTGCGACCTCTTACAACCGGGTGCCTTGGAACCTCCTAATATCTCTTACAACGAGAGGACACAATGGCACCATCTATTGGGTAGCAGTGTAAACTTGGCGGTCCGGCATATATTCTATTTCTCTCGCGCATTATTCTTTCTTTCTCGACTCATAAAAACCTTTGTCAACGTTTGACACGAGCTTTTATTCTAGGTATTACGCACATTTGACCTCGGAAATCCCGCAAAACCTTCGCTCTCGTAAAACGCAGTTCCATGTTCAGCGTACAGATGGCGCCAGAGTGTCAGTGTGTCCTCTCGTCCTGAGAAATTTTAAAAGGTCTCAACAGGTCTCGTCTCTCTCGGTCGTACTCGGTTGCAAGAGTGTAAACGGACCTTAATGCTGTAGTGTTAAAAAATGTGAGAAGTATCAGCATAATTCATCCCCTTAACTTGGAGCCAAAACATGCGGCCACGTGGCGTGGTGCCTATATCCTATGCCGCCAACGCTGCTCATAGCGACGTGGTAGGGTTGGCAAGGTAGAAAATGCGTGCTGACCCCCAGCCATTGTTAGAGTTCGGCTACTGTCATTACCGCAGTGGCTGGACAAGAGCCAACACAGGAGTGTCCGCCAAGGCATTGATTGTTTCGAGCCGGAGTCAAGTGCTCACGGAGTTATCATTCCGTTGTCAGGCGGGTGGTTTCGATCCCGCAATTACGTAATCAAGCTTTGCGAGGGCAAAACTTAAATAAGTAGTTGCCTTTTAGCATCGCAGTTTCACTGCACCAAGAAAGCTTCTGAATCAGTGGTGGTCTGTGCGAGTATAGTTGGGTCAGACTAGGACCAGAACGCCTCTGCAAAGTCATTAACATTCCAACCCGATATCGCTTCATGACCGCTTCAATACTGGCGCGCAAAATAATTTCTCACATTGTTGAAACTTCCTGAAGGTTTCATCTGCTTCGTTGCTTAACAAGCCCATTCCTCTTTCTCAACCGGGTGTCATGGTTGTCGACGTTAATTCTCTCTAAAAGGATTACAAGCTTCGCGTTTTGTGGCAAAGACAGTGGTACGAACAGATGCTCTTACATGTCCTGTGTGGCGGCCTCATCTACTACAAGCGCCACAAAACTATGAAGACCTCAACCTGCGCCATTTAACCGTGGAGCAATTGATATTAAATGGGTAAGCTACCCTTGAGCAATAACGAAAAACTGAAGCGGTTCTGTATTTGTGGAAAAACACTAAAATTGTCCATTCTGATGTTAGCCTGAGACTGAGGCAGGAAAAGAGGAAGTTTCAAAGTAGAAGAAAAAGGAACAGTCGAGGATAAGTCTCTAACGCAGCTAAAGACAAGTTTATTCGGTCACCCTCTTATATACACTCCACAATCTTCACCACAGAACCTTGGCGACCTCCAAAGCCAAAAGATATTCGGAAGCGCTGCGTATTTCTTTGATCCGGTGACTTGAGGCTTCTCTGTACGCCTTGAGGATCCTCTTTTTGCCGCTTTTGGCTTTGGAGGTCGCCAAGGTTCCGTGGTGAAGATTGTGGAGTGTATATAAGAGGGTGACCGAATAAACTTGTCTTTAGCTGTGTTAGAGACGTATCCTCGACTGTTCCTTTTTCTTCTACTTTGAAACTTCCTCTTTTCCTGCCTCAGTCTCAGGCTAACATCAGAATGGTTAATTTCCACCAGCTCGCCTGCGCACTCACTACAATATCACCGAAATTGTCTTTACAAATACTGAGTTTTTGTTTTTTGTTTGGTGCACGGAGGTTGCATAAAATCATTTTTAAAGTACCGTTGAAGCCTCTCCTTCCCGAAGTGTGACGTCATATCCAGAGCTCTTGGAACCTCCGCCCTCGTGCATCTTCAGCGCCTATCAAGCTATGAACGCGCAAAAATGCTAATTTCAGAAAGGCCAGAAAAAGACGTCACGGCTGGTGTCATTGCAGAGAAATAGACGCCATTCTAATATTTTCACCCATCGGGAGATCTACGGAGGCCAGCACGCGCATGTTCATTGCATCAGAAAGCGAGCAAATCATGCCCCATACGCACGAACACTGAAAATGTAACCTGCCAGGAGCACTTTTCTTTTTTGAAAGGTCTATAGACATTTCTATTGTTTACAAAAATCACAGTCCACACGTGCTAAGTCACAGTCCAGCCTGCGCTGGAAAATCGAAATCGAACGCGCGTATTGCTTTGCCATCGCCACGCTAATAAAATACATTTAGAATATAAGCGTAACCGCCCTATTCTCGTTTGGTCTCCCTTCTATATATTTTACTATTTGCAGGTTGAATAGACCCTTTCCGAAATTTATGCTGGCCACTTTGGTCACTATCATCATCTGTGGAACGGCATCTGTGCCATATCAATGGCGGCCTTCTAGTGGATGATAAAGGAAGACGTTGAAGATGCTCCTAAGCGGATCTTGCGAGGCCTGTACATTCGGGGGGTCAGTACGACGCGACGTAGGAATGGAACACAAGAGCTACGTAAGCGTTTGTTTCTAATAATTCAGATTCAGTCAATCTGTGGGCGGCACACAATCGGCTTTAAAGCACTTTGGTGTACAGAATTTTCTCGAGGCACTTGAGTGGGTTAGAGCTTTGTTCTGAATGCAGGTTCTTGGTCACCATCGAACTGAAATTGATCAAGAAAGAACTCACACTGAACAACCTCGCGTGCCGTTGACTTTCGAAAGTGACGGTGCCGATCCAAGTTCATTTCCGCCATTGATATGGCAAAACCTAAACTGCTTTACAAACCACCAGATGGCACTGAATTTCGGAAAGGGTCTATTGCTTTATTATTTTTTGTCTCATATACCGAATTTTTTTGTCGTCCATACTTGGTGGCTGGGGACGACAGTAAGCGAAAAAGGTCTATAGACAATTGCAAGCCCAGCGGCCGGACTGGTGGCACCAACACGCGAACCGTGCGCTTGAACGTGGCCTTGACAGGCTTGCAATTGCACGTCCTTGCCCGCACGTACAGAGATATGGCGGTGGCTAGGCGCCCTGCTTGCCATCGTCTATAGATGGCGCACACAGGGTCGATTTTATAGACAGTATTCAATGGACGCCATATTTGTGGGTGCTGTTTACAGCGCATGCCCAGAAAGAGCTCATATCAATAGGTTGCTAAGACTGACACTCTTGACGGTGCGGAATGCACGTTGCAAAATGACTGTGGAAGCTCACCGTCAGCGCGCGCTCAGCATTCGCGCACACAGATATGGCCGCCAGTGAATACTCCCTATAAAGTCCCTCTATCCTGGGAAAAGTGACGCCATTCATTGTTGTGGAAATGATCGAGACACGTGCCGCGCTCCAATTCTGGGAAGAACATGGGGTCTGAAATCTAGCTCAGCTGCAGTGTAGCTCAGCGCTGCGCTGTGCCACCATGATCTTCCAAAGTGCTGCACGTTGCACGTGCTTCGTGCATTGACGCACTTCGGGCTACCTTTGAAACATGAAGGGCTTTACGATTCTCTAAAGCCTCTCTATTCTGGGGAACGTGGCACCATTCATTGTTGTGGAGATGCCCGAGACACGTGGCGCGCGCCACTTCTGGGAAGAACATGGCGTCTGAAATCTAGCTCAGTGCTGCACTGTGCCGCAATCATCTTCCCAAGGTCTGCACGATTCTAAAAGCACACACAGTAGCCAAACACAACAGAAAGGCCAGATGTATGTCCTCTTTCACCTTCGATTTCAAGGCGCCAGTCGGCCCCACAACATGTTCGAAGAGATGCGAAGCCACGTGCACGTCGACAGCGCTGAAGGGGTCGTCGAGGAGGTAGACGTCCGCATCGTGGTACACCGCCCGTGCCAGGCTGATCCTCAACTTTTGACCGCCGCTCAGATTGATGCCCTGCGAAAACCCACGCCTGGTGTCTCGAAAATTCACGTTTCTACATTTCATACTCGACGTGGTTTCACTCCTCTTATACATGGCTCGCACTGACGTCGCGTCTCGTACTTTGGATCACCACGAAAGAGAGAGAAGGAAGCTGCTTTCGTAGGAATTTTTAGTGAGGGGTTAATCTTCTATAATCTTCAGTTAGAAGAATAGCAACGTCTGTGGAAAATCTAGAAGACACGAAAGAGTGTCCTGGTAAGAAGGTAGTTACTTATTCCCCTCTTCTCTGATGGCCATCGAAGCGCTCTTTGTGTGACGTCATGTGCAAGCCATGTACACTCAAACCGAGCTCTCTGACATCGCACGACTGCGGTGGCGCTGCTGTCGGCACTCTGCCCGGGCAGACGCTTCACTTCACGCGAATCCAAGTTGCGCGCACGCGCAGTGCGCACACCTGGTGTCGGCAACGTTGACTTATTAGTAAACAACCTGAAGGTCCATACGGAGAGCAAGTCGTCTGCTTCTCGCGCAGGAGTTGCGGTGACGTCAGAAAGACGCCGAGCGCTGATTGGCTCTGAATGAAGGATAGTGGGTAGGCCTGAAAGCAAGCTGCCTTGAGGTCTACCCACTATCCTTCATTCAGAACCAATCAGAGCTCGGCGTTTTGACGTCATCACAGCCCCTGCAAACGAAGCAAATTTGGCTCCGCGTAGTTTAACGCAGTGTGTCAGAGCACGCAAAATGGAAGAAAACTGCCATCTTCCTCTACTACAGCAGACGTTCGTTCTGTGTGACACGCAGGTTTAAATAGAAATGAAAGATGGGTAGAGCTGTTGATGGTCGCCTCCATACCTTATCCCCGACTTCGGTGTTCTCCCCGGCGGGAAGCATTTCCAGGTCCGGCCTGAGGGCGCAGGCCTCCACGACCTGTTGGTACCGCTCCTCGTTCGCAGTGTTGGTAAAGATGATATTCTCCTTCACCGTCGCGTTCTGGATCCAGGACTGTTGCGCCACGTAGGCCAGTCGCCCCTGCAAACGAAACATAAAAAAATCGCAAAAAAAAAAGAACATAACACTTAAGTTTGCTCTAAACGAAAAATAGAAAATTTCCAAAATGCACTTTATTGTCACTGGCACAGTGCGAACGGCGGGGCGAGTCTTTCGAAGGCCCGGCCTCCAGCACGCGGTCCTCGCTTTCCACCGTGCTTTGACTGCACGTGCTCGTTTGAGGCGAACGACACTCCGAAGCGTTGTCCGAGGTAGGAAGCTGGCGCTAGAGGCGGCACAACTGAAGCTCCTCCCTGCTGTTCTTATTTGCTAGTGACGTCACTAGCAGCTTAAGCCTTTGACGGTCGCGTTTGTTTCCCCAAAATATGTTCCACAGTGGCCCGGTTTTGTTTCCAGAGGAATTTCATAAGAAAAGGTCAATGCAGCACTCTTTTTCCTTAAATATGCGGGAGCACGTAAGCAGTGCTTGCAAGCTTTTTAGCTTTAGCAGTATCAAATAAAAACATTGAAAGCTAAAAGTTGTCACTTTTCTCCCATTCGGTGTCATTTTGGCGTATCCGCTTCCGCGACACTCAGCGTCTTCAGGGCTTGCTTGCTAGAAACAGCGTCTCGGCTGAGACTGGGGGAAAGAAAGCACTGCCAAAGCGAGGGCATGATCGCTGAGCGTGTCTCAAACCGCGTCTCAAGACGCTCGCGCGCCCCAGCCTTTGCAGTGCTTTCTTTCACCCAGTCTGAGCTGAGAGTGCTGTTCTAGCAAGTCGGCCCACATTCCTAACCGAGGGTACTTTACAGAACTTCTCCGTCGGATGATGAGCTCTACTTCTTTAAACTTACCTCTGAAAAAGCGTTGCTCCAGTGCTTCAATTGGCACTAACGTAAGGGCGGCCGGTATGCGAAGTGCGCAACACGTGCGCGGAGAGTTTAACGTGAAAAACTATAAATAGCCCAACATTGCGAAACATCGAGCGACTATAAAGTCTACAGTTCACTAAAAACAGAGCAAATAGAAACACCTCTCGCGGCGTGCGCATTTTCGCATTTAGGCGGGTACTTTCAAATGCGTAATTACTGCTGTACACGTACGGCGACGACCGTCAAAGGGATTTAAGAAATGCAGCGTGTGGCGAATGCCTGGCATCTTGTTACCCCTCAGCAACCCATGAGATTCCGTTGTCCGCTGATAAGAACGACGAAGAAGGGATGCCAAAGCAAAGAGCGTGAGCGGAACGCGTTTTTAAACATGTCAATGACTACATCAGAATGTCCGGCGTATAGTAGGCTGCTCCATGGTCCACTCGAACTACAAAGCCTCTGTCGTCCTTGAACCGGTTCAGACGGTGTGAAGGACGAGTGGCATCGCAACCAATGGTCGTTTAGCTTTAAGCCGGGGTCACACTGCTTATCATATTGTACACACCCCTGCCCGTTTCGATCTGGATGAGCATCGTACCGGCGTGCGGTCGTGTATAACTACTGCGTGATGCACGTTAAAGACCCCAGGATAGCGGTTGTACCGCACTGGCTAAATTGCTCATCTACAGCTGGGAGACTCGTCGTCCGTTGAAGCAGACCAAGTTCTAGGCTGTATAAACACACACACAACCCAATTTTATTACAGAAGACAGTCTGCATACAGATTCAAAGGTGAGCCACCGCGAGATCTGTGCTTCAAATGCTTCATGGCAATGAGCTTACGGGGGACACTTGGCACGCGACGTTCGAACCACGGATATTACAGTGACTCGTATTTGCAAACTGCCTTTTGTATGATCTATGAGCAGTGTGACCACGGCTTTCGCGGCAAAAAGGTTATACTGCATTCTACCACTGACATCGCACGACCATTAGAGTAGGATACTGAGCGGTCTTTTATAGGCTGAGCGGTTGATAGAAGGATCAATTATTGGTCTTGGGACTCTTTTGTTTTTTGCCACGCACGGCATTTTTTTGAGTTCTGTTTGGACAGCCCTCTCTTTATAAGTGATACGGTAAAACCAAGAGATGTACGGCGGTGTTTCCACGGTTTTGCGTACGGATTTATGGAATTTACCATAAGGTATTATTGTCATTAGCGAGCGGAACTCGAAATGGAGTAGTTCTCACTCGTCACTATTGCAAAACGATTACGGGAGTGTGATGAGTCACTCACTTGTACGTCGACAGACCCTGAAACTTTCTCCAATGTCCCGAGGATGGCGTTGAGCAGAGTAGACTTTCCGCATCCCACGGGGCCCACAACAGCCACTAGACTGCCTTCCTTCACGTTCAAAGTCAGGTCCCGGAGGCCCGCGGGTTCCTCGCTCGCCCACGTGAAACTGGCCCCCTTTAGGCTGACCGCATCGCCTGAAGAATGGGAAAATAACCCTCTCAGAAAGTCCCTTTACCCACGCTTTGGAAAGCGAAAAAAAAAACAAAACAAAAAAAAACGTACACAGAGGCAAAGCTTTTCTTGTAAGTTCAGATACCTTTATCTGGACTTGCTCCAATCATCTTTTCGTCCAGCTCCGCTTCTTCCAAAAACGCAGATAACCTCTTGAGGGAGCCCAAACACTGCGGGGACATTAGAGACCACTCGGTCAGGGATTGTAGGTAAGCGTAGAGGGCCGACTCCACCATTGGGGAGCACGACCGCGGGCGCAAAGTTGCGTTCCGATAAGAAACCGAAACCTAAAAATTCGCCCAACGTAAGCGTTTTTTCGAAACGCCGTAAAATGCTGCCCTTACCTTACATTGTCACGAATGACAAATAATAAACCGGATAATAACTGGAGAAACTAAAGGTTTAACAGGGGAAATTGTGCCCAAAACAAAGTAAAAAAAAGGTTAGCGTCGGAGGTGTCGATGACGGAAAAACAGCAGGATCAAGCGCTCGGGCGAGACTAAAGCCTGGTTCAGACCACTGCGTTTGAGTGCGTTTGACTGCGTTGCGTCGAGGACCGAAAGCGAGACACCGGCACATCTGTGCTTTGTATGAAGCGCGGAATTCAATTGAAGAAATTATCTTGGCACGCGATATAAGCAGTAAGGATGTCCTGGTTTCTCGCAGCCGCAACGTAGTCAAACGCAGTCAAACGAAGTCAAAGGCAACTGTCTGAAGCAGGCTTGACTCCGCTCGTCATGCGGAGTCCTCCCTTATGTACCCGCGTGGGTTTCTGGACCATTCGACACGTAGAACATTTGAAACTCGATCACACGACAATGTTCTCGAGCTTAAGAGAACACCAAGTTGAAAGAATAAATAAAAGAACATTCCGCTCACTGGAATCGAACCTAGACCTTCCGCGCGACAGCCACGCACGGTAACCATCCGGCCACGCACGCGCTGGCTCGACCAACGCGCGTGACAATACCTGTCTAAAATGAGTTGATTTACTGGTTCCCGACGATGCTTAGCAAGTTTCTCGTTGGAGCCTTATGTTTATTTCCACTAATTAAAATTTTAGTTAATCATTTAGCTAATTATTATTTTCATGCAATTCCCGGCGACCCTCGTGGCCGGCAGTTTGTTCCCGGAAGGAGATTTTTTTTTCTCCACCAGTTTTACTTTAGGAATTTTTAAAAGCCATCGCTGAGACGCCCAGTATATACAGTATAAACAGGGTGGGACCCTATAGGGAGTAACACATTTGGCCCGCCTCGCAAAAAGCAAATTCCAAACGTAGATCCCTGAAATTGGGCACGGGAACTTAGCTTTGCAAGAAGTTTTACGTCTACCTTTTGAAAAGCTAAACTCAGAGGTGATATCATATCTCGAGAAAAACGGCGGCCGCGAATTTCCTATGCCCCAAACGGGTGCTGGTCGTCTGCACACTGGTTTGTGACCTTGCTCCCAGGAGGTCATTGCTCATATATTTTGTTAAAAGTATTAATTATCGCGATTACCTGGCTCATCGCCAGCCTCTGCTATTGGTTTTTAGCGTTTTTGCGTTCAGCAAGCCACCCGGGAGCGAGCTCATAAATCAGTGTACAGACGACAAACAGGAGCTGCTATAGGAAAACGCAAATACACGGCCTCCGATTTCGCTTTGTTTCTCATTTACTAGCTCAAAATTGAGCTCTGAAAAAAATAGACATAAAATTTCCGTCGAAACTACGTTCGAGTGGCCAATTTCATATATGTACGTTTAGAATTCGAACTTTGCAAGGCGTGCCATATGTGTTAGTCCTTACGACCGCACCCTGCATACTACATGGAGTAACTGGAGCGGGCTATACTCACTGACAGCCTAAGAAAAGGTGGGTGTGGTAATTCTAGAAGATATTATCATCAGACTGCAGCAGCCGATATGATGGCGACATCAGCCGATACAGAGATCAGGGAACCAATCACAAAGCAAGATGCCTGAACATGAGCCACGTCCCACGCTTATGAATCTCTCAGTTACTACAACAGCGTTCACACGATTAGGGTGCAATTCAACGACGAATAGGTCATACAAGCTATCTATTATTTCGTTTGCGAACAGCTACGGATTTGTTTTATTTATTTTATTTCATTTTGCTTTATTTTCAGTGCCGCACAAAACAAACCTATGCCTTTATAATGGTGCACCAAAAAATATCACATCAAATCCTCAAAACAGAGGTCTACATGATATCGCAATGAAAGAAAACATCAATGCACTCTCGAAATGTTTTTTTCGGGTCCAAAATTGCAAATATCGGCATTATGCGAACTAGATTCCACTTTGTTGAAAACCAGTTGCAAACGAATCATGGGATCAGTTTTGTACAAAGAAAACTCATCAAATAAGGAGTGAGCATGGCTTTTCCACTCAAGAACTCGAAAACATACGCAGTTCTGTTGCGCCGGTGAGTCTAGACAGCCATTTACACCCTTGCACAAGGACATAAAATCTCGAAGCATCCGTCTAGTAAACAAAGATGTTAATCCAATCAGATTACAAATTTTAATGTAGTCATAAAATACACTGGGCTGAAAATAACGATCATAAAACACACTTATAAATTTCCTTTGGGTAGGCTCAATACCAGACAATTTGGTCACTCCAGTGGAGTTTTGGTCGACTGAGACAAACTCAAGGCGGCTTGGTACAAGGGTACCAAATAACATGAAATAACAAAGTGAGTTTTCCCATGGCTATAAAGTGGAGTTTCGTGTTTTGGGTGGGGGGGAGGGGGGGTGTTTTTCTTCAAATTCGTGGGTGTTCTGCTGTTCGGTGTTAATTTTTAATGGCAGGCAAGAAATTGAAGTTAATTGGGTTGAATACAGACTTGTACCTATCTCAATGCTCTAGTCGAGATACTGTCTTTCAATTACTTTTCGAAGTATCTTGGTATCTTGCGAATACTTTTAATCGAGAGTACTTGTACTCATTATCTTGAATACATTTTTGGCATTCCGCCATTTTCCGAGTTTTTCCGTGTGAAGTGGCGTGGGCGTGGCACGAGCAAACGTGAACAATCTTCCGAGCAACCGAATCCTGCTGCTAGCTCCGATCATCTACGGTGACTTTGATTGAGCTCGTGAAAACATAGCTTTTCTGCCAATTGTGACTCATATTTCAGCCCAAAGTTCGTACAATGAAGGTTTCCCCTTGCCTTCCCAAAGGCGCCTTTTGTTTCGTAAAGTCCCCCCCCCCCCCCCCCCTCCAAATAATCGTCAAACAAGTGTGGGGTTTTACGGAAGTAAAGATGGCCACCCTGAGGCGCAACGCAGACCGGGAAACGACCTACGACAACAATGCAGACTGGAGTGTCAAGAAAATAACAAATAAAATAAAATAAAAAGTGGAGACTAAAAAAAAAACCAGAAATTTTTGTTTTGCTTTTTGCATATTTTATTCCGCTACGGTAAAACGACAAGGTTCTCATTTTTTTTTGGTCGCTAGTCCGTCACTTATTGCTCTCGCGAACACCGCCTGTGATAAGCAGATAACAGGACAGGAAATGAATTACGAGCTGGATGACCTTTCAAAGTGGCAACAAAGTGTCCCCCAACGTTGAGTGCCCTTCTGAACGCAACCTACTTGAAGAAGGTGCGGCCACTACTGTGGCATTATGTGGGTTCTCTTTGTTATCCATTCACTCATATCCGTATCCCAAGTTCGTTTATAGTGAGCTCCCCCTATAGGAAATATGGATTGTAGTTAATCGATGCGTCATGCGCCGCAGGACGTGATATTCAGCGATGTCACTATTGGCGAGGCGCTGAGACCCGTTTGTCACCCCCACACCTCTGTATACCCAACACAAGGCCAGTGCACATGCCCACAAGCCTCGTGGGCATGCTCCTGTCATCTTTTTGAATAGAATAGTGCTGGGCACAGTGTAATGTAAAAATACAAACAATTAGTGAAGGGACGTTAAGTGCCGGATCTCTCCCGAAAGCAGTCGTCAGAGGATTCGATCTTGACCCACTAGGGCTTTTGTGCTGAGCTGGGCACCGTGCTCGCTGCATTGTTCATGCCGGCTGGACATGTAACAAAAGAGACCCTCCTCTCCCTCAACGAAGAACACTAACACCAGCCGAACGCTGACACCGCGTTCGGTTATGTCAGCAGTGCGCTAAGTCATTGTATTCGTTGTCCCCATCCGTGTAGTTCTAAAGTTAACCGCTTGGGGCACCACGGTCTGATCTTCTCCCCAATTACTAAAGGGACCTCTTTCTTGTTGCCCCAGAAATGTCAGTTTCGTGACATGTATCAGTGATATTGCCACGCGCTTTGCCCAGCGAGCGCGTGGCCGAATGGTTACGGCGCTTGGCTCTCGCGCGGAGGCTCCGGGTTCGATACCAGGGAGCGGACTCCTCCTTTATTTATTCGTTCAACTTGATATTCTCGTAAGTTCGAGAACCTTGTCGTCTAATCAAGTTACGAATGTTCTACGCGCCGAACTTTCTACCCCGAATGTTCCAGAAACCCACGCGGGTACAATAGGTGCTCCGAAAGCGGTCCATAGTCAGTCTCGCCCCAGCGGTCGATCCTGCTGTTTCGCCGACATCGACGCCTGTGATGCTAGCCTTTCTCTATCTTGTTTTGGGCACAAGTTCGCCCATTAAACGTTTAGTTTCTTCAGTTATTCGCCGCCTCGGCTAATGTCATTCGTGATAATATCCTGCTCCTTACAGTTGGACTGCATAAAATAGGCCTGCGATACTTTTTTTTTTCTTTTTCCGTGTTATGTTGCGTGATAATAAGCCATTCTGGTAACCTAGATATCCGCAGCTGTATAATTGTCGTTGTCACTGACGTCGATACAAATTACGCAATGCGGAAGTATCTTCAAAAGTAATTGAATGACATTTCTAAGTGTTTGTACTCTACTCAAGATACTTTACGGTGAAAGTAACTTGAGTAGTGTTTTAAATACGTTATGAAGCAGGTATGTAGTACGTTAAATTAAATATTTTTATCGAGTATTTTGTCCAACAGTGGTCTAATGTTATAAAAAAACTGCATATCTATAAATTTTTGACACCAAATCTATCTCCCCCCCCCCTTCCACGCACACACACACACATTCCAATGAACCTCGATTGACCTCCATCGATGTCCTTTTTTTCTTCCGGTCAACTGAACTTGCACCACTGACCCAAATTACTTTGGTACAGAGAACAGAAGTCAAGGTACGTGTTTCCCAAGGAAAGAGGTAACCTTAACGGCAGTTGTACTATCTTTAAGGTTGCCTCTTTATGATTGTGTTGAAGTTCACAATTTATTTATATATATATATATATATATATATATATATATATATATATATATATATATATATATATATATATGTATATATATCAGTGTGTCGAACCGAAAAAAATACGGGTTCGGTTACGGTTCAGGTAAATTTATTTTGTTCCGGTTCAGTTCCGGTTCGATTAATTCGATCCGCGAACCGGTTCGCGAACCGGTTCGGGGCGCTGAACCGGTTCGCGAACCGGTTCGGAAATTATAAATGACAAATTGGAACATCAAAATAACAAAATCAAAATAACATCAAAATAAAAAAAATTGCAACATCATGTTCTAGAAACGTGTTATGAAATGAGCACACAGCAGCATTTAGGATTTACGAGATTGTAGAAAAATAAAATCCCGTGACGCGATTTTTTGTTTTTTTTTTGCACAGCCTTTTAATTCTTTTTCTTTCGTGCGAGCCGCGACCAGCGCAATACTGGTTCCTATGTCAAGATTCATGGATGCAGCGTTTATATTCCTAAGACTGAGTGGAAAAGAAAATTATGTAAGCGAAGTGTGGGTCAGTTGACGGCACTTAAAAAACAAATGGCATTGATAGCACATTCATTGTCAACAGCGCGTGGCCGAACCGTTCTGACATGAGCCGGTAACCGTTATTTTTTTTCCGGTTCAGTTCCGGTTCGGGTTCATCGCGATAACAATATAACGGTTCGGGTTCGGGTTCAGTTCCGGAAAAAATACCGGTTCGGTTCCGGTTTTCGGTTCGGTTCGGTTCCGGTTCGACACCCTGATATATATATATATATATATATATATATATATATATATATATATATATATATATATATATATATATATATATATACCGCAGATTAAGAGATTTTCCCCCAAACTAGCGGGGATCTTCCTATTCGAGGGCAACTTCAAATCGGGATTTTTCGGTTTTACCCTATCCTGAGAAAACCCCTTCGAGGGTTATTTATAGGAGTATAACAGTAGTTAGTGAAAACACAGAAACCTAGCTACGAGTGCTCTATCTTCTTTATATAATGCTATATGTATACAAAATTAGAAACCAAGATAAGTGCGAACTTGTCTTAACGCCGCTTTCGCCCACACCTCGCAATAACATTTTGTCCAACTTAGTACGTACCAGTTTCTCTAATATTGTTGCGAAGAAAAATGTTTTTTTTTTTAATTTGCATGACTTTTGCATTTGGGCAATAACTTGGTGAAATTTTCAGTTGCTGTTTTACTTTTTGTTGTTGGTGTATGCGTTTGTTCTGCGCGTGGTAATCATACACGTCTCGTTCAAAATGTGGTAAGCACTCAGTATTTTCCTTACTGTTAGTGACGGAGTAGACTGTTGTGTGAATTAATTGTGTTCATGACTAGATATATATATTTTGCTGATTGTTAGTTTATTTGGTACTTATTGTTTAGGGATTTGTTCGTCTTAGCTGCTTTTGCCTTTTGATCAAGCATGTATTGCATTAAACATATTAAATGGTACCACAACACATTATACAAGCGCCATTTTGTGTAAAACGTGGACACCCCAACCAACGCTCTTTAAAGCAATTAGAGTCAGCGGTTAAGGTATTAGGCTTAGGGTAATACCTAAGCCTGAACTAACACTTCGGTCGCTTTAGTCTGGCCGAGTCAGGCTCCTAGACACCCCACATGATATGGTTGTGATTAATCTAGTACCTGGTTAAGGTATTGTTCCTTTTTCGGCGCTCTTATTTGCAGATGCCGCAAACTCACTGGCAGCGCTGTGATAATACAATACTCGGGACTCGTCACGTCCTGCGTTTCTTAAACTTTCAGTGACTATATACAAGCTGCAATTGGCTTAGGATTGTCGTCTCTTACCCTAATCAACCTGGAGAGTACGTCCGGCAGAATGTACATCGGGAATCGTAGCAGCATGAACAGGGAGAGGCAGGTAAAGGCGATGGACGGAGTGAGCTGATTGGCTGGGCTCACCAGCAGGAAAGTGCCGAACGACGCCAGTGCAGCCTGAACAAACAAACCCACACAAACACACAAGTAATAAGCGTAAACAACGATCATTGCATGGCCCTTTATTTGAAGGAAATGAATGCTTTTCGCAATAAAAAAGCATTTTTCACACAAGGAATTTGCCGCGATTTTGTGTTATTTCACAAAATAGACCACGAGTGGCAGTAATTTTTTAGAGCCCAGCTCTTAGGCGCCCGCTTCCGGGTTAAGCGGTGTCGGCGTCGGCGTAACCGCGCGTTGCATTATGGGATGTTTCCAATTTAAAGTTAGCAGGGAACGTTTCCCGCTAAATTTAGTGGGGAAATCGACGTCACGTAACCTCAACACCAATTCAGTTCCCCCCCTAAATTTAACCAAGAAAATGACGCCACGACTTCATGTCACGTCACGAATTAACAAATTTAGCGACAGGAGGAGAAGGAGGAGGAAGAAGGGCATACCCTCCCCTCCTCCTCCTCAAGAGCTGCGCTCTCAATTCGTGTTACAGAGATTTGTAAACGTCTTTAACTTTTTGGTTCATAGGACGCTTGGCCTGTCCCGCTTGAGCTTCGAGCGCATACATTTTTTTGCTGCACTGTTGACAGACATGAGGTTAATAATTTGTGTGCAGTGATATCAAGGAAAAACATAGACACCGCTAAGCTCAAAAATTGTATTGTTTTCAAGAAAACTCGCGAAGGCAAAGCGCATTCCAGAGCCTCGTCTTTGGGCGCCCTTCCTTCCAACAAGGCTACGCAGAACATTCAATTAAATGTTATGTAATTATTATGATTTGTAGCATTACAAGGGGAGAGTATAAGGAAACAATGATTAATAAAGATATACACTCGGGAAAATGAAATACAAAAAATAGGTGAACAAGTTTACAAACTATTTCCTGAAAAGATCACAATCGATAATTTAAGCTAGAGAGGCTGGTAGGTGGTTCCACGTAAGGGAGGTGAGCAGAATAATATATTTAAGTGCGCATTCTAAGTTTTTAGAGGGATGCCAACTTTATGATTAGGATCCATACGCAAGAATACATAAAGGGGAAGTGAAATGGTGCGCTCACCCGATGTAATATTGTTGCAATCAATTTCATGAAATATAGGCGATTTCTTTGGCTCACTGATCGATTCGGTAGTATAAGAACCCTGGCAGTTCCATGATAGTTTGGAGATATGAAGTGAACCTTTTTGTTTTGTCTGGGTTCACCTGATGTAGTTACCTTTAATGACGATCCTAAACAGATTATGTGTACTCTCGTTTAGGGCGTACAATAAGAGTGGCATAGATACATTTTTCTTTTTACCTACCGCGTTTGGCGTTGCGGACCACACGAAAGCGAACGTTGACTGCAGGATGGCGTACTTCTTGAGCGACGAGAGTTCTTCGGCACGTGTGCGCTTCACCTTCTCCATAAAGGGAGGCTCCCAGGCGTTTAGTTTGATCACCTAGAAAAAATAATTTGCACAGAAATTATGTCTTAGGATTACGCTTTTGCGAAATATAGATAGAATAAACGCCGATCTCGCCGTACCGGTTACTTCTGTCGCATCGTGTCAAAAATAAACGCCGAAAACTTGAAAATTCAGATTTTGAAACGACGTGAAGACGCTCCCTAAAGCCGGGGTCACACTGCTTATACACTAAACAAAATGCAGTCTGTATGGAGATTCGAACGCTAGTCACCGCGAGATCCGTGCTTCGAATGCCGCACGGCAATGAGTTTGAAGAGAAAAATTGGCACGTGGCATTCGAACCACGGATATTGCGGCGGCTCGTGTTTGCAGAGTGTCTTTTGTATGATGTACGGGCAGTGTGACGCCAACTTAAATGAATACGGCAACAATTTGTTCTTCTTGCAGAGCACTGTATATCATGGTCAGCGTAAGACACGCCGTCCGCCGTGACTTACATTTTTTTTCCTGCTTCTTGCTTCTTGACTTGTGTGTTGGCGTCCCTCATTTACTGCTGATCTACAGGGTGTTTCGAATAGCGGCCAGGCTCTTTAAATTGACCGCAAAACTTGGCTTCGTAAGCTATCGCGCTAAGATTTTGTGCAGCGTTGCGCACAGGTGGTGCATTTGTTCTATAAAATTTGCGAAGTGCGAACTTACCCGAGAAAAAAAGTAAACAAAAGAAGAAGACTTAACTTTTTATAAAAAAACGCAGCGAAGCGGCCGGTTTTCAAAAAAATAGGGTGACCTATTGTTTGAAGACCGGTGGCTTCGCTGTGTTTTCATAAGAGTTAAATCTTTTTTTTTATTTTTTTACTTTTTTCTCGGGTAAGTACGCGCTTTGCAAATTTTATAGAAAAAATGCCCCACCTCCGTGCTACGCTGCACAAAATCGTAGCACGATAGGTTAAGAAACCAATTTTTGCGGTTGATTTAAAGAGCTGGGCGCTCTTTGAGACACCCTGTATAACAATTAAAGAACAAAACGTATGCATAAAAGATGCGACACAGCACCTTGAGACCGAAATAAATTTCTATATCTAAAAAAACAAACATTATATGGCTTCATCATGTGTAGCTGAAACGTCCACTGGAATTCCTCGCTATCGCGGCAGCTGTTTTCAATATAGCTACTCAGAGCGTTACAAAACAGAGGGCTTGGCTTGTGACGTTCACGCCCTCCCCTTCGCGATTGGTTCTGCATCTTTCGTATCAACTAATACTGTAATCTCATTGACTGAAGGTCAATGATCAGATACACTAGACTCGTTACGCTCAGCGTTTTTTAAGCAGTCAGTGACGGTTAGTTCTCTATGTTACCCACATAGAGCCTAAGCTTTGTCCTTTCCCTCTTAAACAACTTCAGAGATGTGGAGTTCGGACTGGCCACGACCTGGTAACCGTTTAAGAGTAGCGTTTTTTTTTTTTTTTTTTTTTTTTTAAATTTTAGTTTTTGACTGGCAAAATTCGATTGGAGAAACTTCGTTTTAGGATAATCTTTTGGAGACACCGTGATGGTTCCTATTCGCCTCGAGATCGAACCGTGCCGCCACTGTGCGGCCGAAATTGGAAACGTGCGAAAGCGGGGATACCGCCGTGCGTCGTCTGCTACGGGCGCACGCTCAGAAGCATGGACCTCGACGACGCAAGCCCGTTTCCGGCTGAGCTTGATATTCCTTATTAAATTCTTTATGTTTTTGTTGCCGTTTCTTCTTACTAAAGGTTGTGTTGTATCGTTTGCCATGCGTAGAAATTCAGCAAAGCGATTATTATTAAGTCGGAAGCTTCCATAATCTTAGTATGTTGTTTTTTATACAATCGGTGGTCCCACGTATTTTTGTTATCTCGCACAAACCGTGGCTTTCATAAAGCATTGAATGTTGAGTGGGTTTGTGGTTTGATTAGAAAATTAACCCGACTAATCGCTATCCTTAAAATAGACTAATCAATTAATCCGTACGTTGATTTTTTCCCGGTCATATTGCGTGAAAGACGTTAAAACTACATATTTTGTACTGGTTTTACTATGTCACAAATGGCATATTGCATTCCCATTCTAGACTTCACGCTGTGAGTCCTACATAAATATGATCACGGGAAGCCTTTTAAAATAAAGTATTTCTTAAGTTATTATTTAAACAGTATAATCACCCTCGGCGAAATGACAAGCACGCTGAAGTGGTTTACCGTGCAAGCTAGTGTCACAAAAGAAATAAAGACGTCAAAAATATTGAAGCCGGCATAGTTTACTGCTTGCTGACTTTCTCCAGTACTAGACTCCAATTGAATGTCAAAAAAAAAAAAAAAATTGAAATTAAAGCATTACTTGAATAATCTAAAAGTTAATCGATGAACTGCCCAGTCCCGATATAGGTTAGGTGAGGGCGGAGGGAGATCGGAAAGTCTCGTGAAGGTCGCTAGCCCTCATCAGTAAAAGAGTATCACTGCGGCCGATGCTGTCTGTGTCGTGGTGCGCGTCGTTTGTTGGGGTTGCAGAGTCTACTGTGTTTGAATACAAGATTATTTAGCCAGAAATGTATAGTATTAGCCTCTTGACATCCGCGGCCCTCACCAAGAAAATTGAAGGGGGTGAACCCACACTACCGAGAAAAGCATTTAATAGCAGGAACATTGTTGCGTTGCTCGGTTACACTCGTTTATTACAGTCACGGCAGATATATTAGAACAGTTTGTTTCACTTGTTTCAGTTGTCCTGCCAACCGTGCAGTTTGCAGATTTTAACTAGAAGAGACACTCACTCCTCATCGCAACGCAGTAGATTTGTTCAGACTCCAAAAAATTTACCCACACTATGGCACAGTAAAAGGGCAGAGGAACTCAATAGCATGGTAATTTCTAATACAACGCTAGCTTATCTTCATTCTGAATATTTATATTACTGCAAAAGCTTGACGTTAAAAAAAACATAGAAGCTGCGATTTCACAGCGCACAGTACCAGTATTATGTTAACTGGGTCGGACTTTATTTTTATTTTTTTTTATTTCCACGTTGATGAACCGATACATCCATTTTAAAAGAAACAAATATTTAACATAAATATTCCAGTTCAGCCGGAGACAGGCATCAGTCGTGGTGATCCATGCTTTCCAAAGTCTGCCTAGAGCAGACGACGCACCCACAGAAGCGATTATATAAATTTGGGCCGCACGCTGGTAACACGATTCGATCTTCACTGAAGCACCGAACAGTACTGCATCTTTTTCCGCTAGAATTGTTTTCCCACCGATGGTATGCGACAAAATAAACGGAAGAATCTACGCCGTCTCGCGCGCCGACGTGGAGAGCCTATGGGGCGGCCGTTCTCCTATCCCCGCTTTGATGATGATGATAGCGCGACCGTAGCGCCACCTCTAGGTCGATCTCGAGGCGAATACCTAGTTTTCTCGTCTCGAATTCTTATAGGAACAAGATTTTTTTTTTTTTACCTGTAGAATCCGTTCAATAGTCTGCGCAAAAGTACCTTAATTCCGTTAAGAACTTCAGTTGTCTGGCGAAGCCGTAAGTCCTTCGAGTCCATTTGCCGTTTCTGCAATTGAAAACCGCGAAAACATAAACGCCTTTTATTAATCTATGTGGGTATGCGCGAGAAAATGAAATCAAAATTTTCGGCCCGCATAAATGACGCTTTGTAGAAAACTGGAACTCTATGAAAATCTGAAGCTAGCGGGGGCAATATAACGCTAGAGTTTGAGATTATGACGTTTCCTGGATCAAAACATAAAACAAAAATAATATCTATTAAGGCATGGGATAGCGCTAGATGGAGAGGAAACGTAAGAAGAAGATTATTCATGCGCCGACATCTATCTAAGCCAATAGATGACATGGTGGGTGCTCGTGACATTTATTTCAGTGAAAACGTCGACTCACCAAGAAATACAACATTATTTTCGTTCCTGTTAACTTAATTTTTTCCCACTGCAGTAAATCCCATAGGCACCCACAATGTCCTTTCTTTGTCAGGCTAATATTAGGCTTATTTGATCTTGGACTAAGAGAAAACTTCTTTGTCTACTGTATATCTTGAACAAGGTGACGTAATTATCCCATAACACCTTTCACATTCTATCGCCACTGCTAGAGTTGCATTTTCGTGGAGTTTCAGCATTCTACGACGTGTAGTTTATCTGCATCGACTGAAAAATCTGGTTTTAGTTTTCTTTCACGGACACGGTATTGATAATAGTTTTTCAGAGATATCAGAGATTAAAAAAAAAAAAAGATAACTTGTGATATGGTTGTTTTTTTAGCCCTAGGGTTTAAAAAACCCTATCGGGTTCCGGGAGTCAGTAGCTAACAGATGAAATGTGATAATCAAATAGCGGATCAACTAAGAATTTTTGAATTTTCTATTTGATTGGTGGTCAATGGGGTTGTAGAATGGACGGTTGACCTCATTCTGTTCTAACCGTGAGGTGAAACTTTCAATAAAAATTTGCAAGGTGCGATGCTCAGAGGCACAACTGAACTTGCGAAGTGCGCCCGTGACCTAGGCTCTGCCGCTGTGCGCTTGCGTCGCACTGCTGACGTCACCCGCAGCGCGGACACGTGATTTCTGGCGCAGGCGCAGAGCTTCTGTTTTGACCCGTACAGGGATGACATTTCTCGCTCTGTTGCGCCCGCTACGGAGCTTTTTTATGCAAAAGTCCAGGTCACGGGTAGACCGTAAGTAGGTGTGGCGTCAATTCTAGAGCTACAATATGCCCCTAAAAACAAACAACAATTTTAAAAGGTAATTAAGAAGTTTTGTTAATTAACAAAGTAATCAACGAATCTCGCCTCTTTCATAGTGGCCCTCACGGGCACTAACAGCCCCAGGGCTAAAAAGAACCTTAAAGGGATGGTGAACCAAAATTTAAATTTCAAAAAAAGAAAAAAAAAAACAACAAAACAATGCAGGTGATGTAGGCGGGACGCTACAATCCCTACAGCACTATTAGTAAGGCGATATCCTAAATGGACGGCCGCATTTTTTGGAAAAAGAGGTCGAGATTGAACTAGGCCGACGAGGCGCGTGACCGTCAAGATACCTAGTTTCCTCCTCTCTTCGCTTCGCTCCCTCAAGGCGGCGAGGCGGAGAAAACGCGAGCTCGTTCCCTCTCCTTCTCGGAGAAACATGACGTCAACATTTTTGCCAAATGCGCCTCCGTTTTTGAAAAACACGGTCATCCGTTCGATATATGGCTGTTTGAGTGATGTTTTGGTGTTTGTAGCATCCCGTCGCACGCTTTTGCCGCGTGTTTTGGGGTATCCAGATTTTGGTTCACCATCCCTTTAACGGTAAGTTTTCTTCTAGCTAAAAACACCGGACTAATTTAAAAAAAAAAAAAAACTCCGCCGTGAAACTATTTTGCGAAGCACGTTCCTGGAAACTCGAATAGAGAAACATTTTAGAGGATAGTGTCCAGTCACCAACCTGGTACTTGTCGCAGAAGTGGGCAACGCAGGTCGTCGCGAGAGTACTGGCAAGCATGGTGGCCAGCGTGGCCAGGCTGGAGGGACCCAGGTATTTCCACAGGAACACCATGGTCAGAACTATGCGGAGCGGAACCCCCCAACAGTTGTGGCACAGCAGCAAGAACTGTCCCACCTGCTCCACATCGACGGACATCAGGTTCATGATCTCCCCTGCAGTGTACTGGCGGCGGGAACTGCTCGAGATACGGAGGACCTGTCGCCAAGAAGCCGTGAAAAAAAGATTGCGAGAAGGCACGCATCCGCTAAGCTACAATCTGAGAGCTCAAGAGCTGCAGAGGGTCCAGCTCTTGCCATTCGAGGACGGCTATGGTTGCTGGTTATTGTTTCACTGGAGGTCGAAACGTATAACAAGTTTTTAACATCTGGGAGTGCATGAATCTTTCATGTTTCACACGGTAAAGATATATATGTTGACTCTTCAGTTACTCACAGCTTGAGAAACTTAAGCGTGAAGCGATTCTCATAGCCGTCGGCCACTAGAAGAGATGTGGAGTTATGCTCAGCGCTATGGTGCTGAGCATAAAGTTTCACCATGCTGAGTGCCTCAGTGCAGACTGCTTTCTTCAACCTAAACATATTTTCTGCCTAGTCATTCGTCGAGCTCCCTCCAATGAATGTGGCGATATTTTCTGTCTCAACTACATTGCGGTAATGTAGGTACTCCAGATTGCTTAAAGTAATAGACATTGAGAAAATTTCCAACCCTATCGTGAGATTTTATTTGGCAAATTTTCAGCAAATTGCCAAATATAATTTCTGTAGCAATTTGACTGCGCGTACACACGCCAAGCTCGTGTGAAGCCAAAGCACGAGTGAAGCTAGAACGTTTGGGCTAGCATCAGTACAAGCGAAAGACCTTTCGAAAGTCTTAAAGTTCTCAGTGAAAAAAATAAATAAATATTCGGTCGGTAATTTAGATTTTTAATTAAGTTAACTCGATGCAATGGATTTGCGGTAAATTTGTTTTTGTTTCTGCCACAGTGGCGGAAGTAGCAATATAAATTTACCTTTTTATATAAGGCAGAAGTAAGCGCGGACTGAACTTTGTAGCCTCCAAGCGCCATGAGGTAGGCCGCGTGTGCATTTAACATTCCTCCGACAAGCTGAGAAAATGCGTATGCCGAGGCATATGCATAGCCATGCCAGCTGTCTTGCTTTTCTTCAATATACACCAGTAGGTATCTGAAAAACAAAGAGCGTACATTAGCTTTTACAAAAAGCAGTTCAAGATTTAAAAAAAAAAAATCCGAACATAACTAACAGTTCTTCCAATCAGTTTATGAGACGAAAAATGAAAGAAGGCTTACTTTAGCATCGGGCACAAATGAACGGTGCAGATTGTATCGATGACTGACTAGTCACAGTCATATTGACAATGAGCATGCAGTAACAGAGGCGACTAATATTTGTTTCCCGGAAACGTCTGCCTCCACTGGTTTGCTCAGCTTGCTTTGCTCTTATAACTTAGAGCAGCTCACTCGTTAATTCTATAGTAGTTCACGATCCATATCTGAGGCGTGATCAAAGAGTTCAGAGACTACTTTTGTACCGTAATCAAAAAGTAGCGAGTAATGCGAGGTGTGTTCAGCACTCGCCCTTCAATATTTATAGGAGATAAGACTATTTAAAACTTCCAATTATCAGCGCTGATCTACCTTCGGACCTGGTGCTCACCAAGCACTATTGTGATAGATCAGTTAGCAGGCGCTGACTGAACACCGTACCGGCCAACGATCCTTATCACCCTGTTATCGAATGATAAATCAGTTATACTTACCCCAGCATCAACGGAGGGACGAAACTCATCAGAATCCAGAAGAATTCAAGTATTGCTGACGCCAATACTTCCCAGCGGCATACTTTGAACAGAACAGCAGAAAGCGATCGTCTCTTGAGAGCATGCGTCTCAACAACGGCGTCATTTTCGTACACATAGGCACTTTGAAGGAACAAAAAGAACAACGTAATTAGAAACTATACTTATGTTGGTTGTCTATTGCTTGCCTAATCGCAACTCTAACGCCCTCTAGATGGCGAGACGGTAGTCGAAAGATGGAGGACGAGACGGGGATAGATTCTCCAGGATTTCCCTCGCGACTGCTTGCTGACGCTGGTCGCTGTGCCAAAAATTAATTTATTTGGCTACAAATACGAAGCGGTCGGGGCAGGAGCTAGCATATCGCAGGTGACGGAGACGTCGAAGCGCCTCTTTTGAAAACGAACATGTTGATTTTTAAAAGTCGCAAAGAGGAACAAAACAATCATATTTTAACGCACACACTTTTTCGTTAAAACCCAAGGGTGCACAAACGCGGCAACCAGAACCGCGCAGTAATGGCAGCATCTGGCCAACAATCCCCTCTATACCGCCTCCGTCTCAGTACCCGCTCCTATGGTTCTTCGTTCATCCGTGAGAGGGCGAGCGACAACTAAAATTGCAAACAAAACATTTTTTTTTGTTGTTGTGGCGGCCGCCTTGTTCAATTTTGACGTCAAGCAGTTGGGAAAAACAAGCAAATAGATTTTATTTTTCTGATTGGAATTCAAGGAGTTCGTGCCAATAGTATTAGTTTTTTTTTCTTCTTGGTTATACATTTTATTGTACTCATGCTTAAACTATTTACCTTAGTGTTTGCCGCCCCATCCCACCACGTAGTATTTCAGCATGGCGTCGGTTGCCTCTGGGCTTAAGCTAAAACAAAGGATAGAAGGTAGTTCCTTCTTCGATTGAAACGAATTGGAGCTCACGACTGCAACTCGACCTTGGAAAGGGGAAGTCTTCCAACGCAAGCAACTTTAATGTTTCACGAGCGAAAAAGCGCGGACGTTTGCGCCTTTTCTTGGGCTCTCCGGGGAGAGGAGGAGAGCCCGCGGATAGCTTTATTCTGCGCTCAAAATGGGAGAGGGAACACGTGTCTGTACCTTCCATTGTATTGCCAAGAAAAGTTGTCGCGGAGTATAGCGCAGTGTACACCCCTGAGCAATATGAAGGTGAACAGCCGTCTTCTTGTTTTTGACGCCCCTGCAAGTTTTGGAACAAGCTCTGTTCCAGAGGAGGGCTAGAACGCAAAGTTTAGACCCCAAGCGACGTACCATTTGAGACGTTGAGAGTTAATACAGCTTTAGGGAGCCGTAAAGAAGCAAGAAACCAGGTAAGGCGTTCACCTTCATATTGCCGGCGGATGTACATAGGGAAACAATGTACCGGGCGTTTCACCAAAGATCGTCCAGGCTTCTCCTTGGTCGCGGTCTGCGGGAAATTAATAGATATATCAGAACAATTTTGGGGCTTTAAATGCAATAGACGTCGACGAAAAATATTCCTAGGTTTTCCGGAGATTAATCAAATAATAATATTAATAGAAAGAAGACGCTTACGAAGTACAAGATGGTGCAAATTGGACTCTCATTTGAATGACAATCTGCGTTGCAATTTCAGCAAATATTTTTTTAATACAAAATCTTTGGTCAATGTTTGTTGAAACACCCGGCAGATGACGTCCCTGTAACTTGGAAGGGACATAAAATCAAAAAAAGAAAAGACGGAACTGCATTGAAATTTGAGACATTTATCATATTTTTGTTTATTTCGGGGGGGGGGGGGGGGGGGGGGGCGGGGCAGAACTTATAATAATATTAGAAGATATTAAATAGGTGTCTGTGTTTGTCATTTTCTGACTGAACTCAAGCTACGCGCTTTAAGCGCCCCTAAAATCCCAATTACGATTGTGCATGCGCGACCTATTTCCGTGTTCAAAACCTGATCAAAAACTGCTGCATTCCCTTTTCTTAAAAATAAATAAATAAAAGAAATAAAAATTGGCACCAACTCCGAGAGCTTGGATCGCGCGTTAAGGACAAAAATAGGACGTCGTTATTGCAATTCTGGGTGTTGTAGGCACTTAGTCGTGCCATAATGTAACGAGCATAAAAACTTTTCTAGTACACTTATAACGGAAAATTAGCTGAAACAAAAACAAATAATAACAAAAAGTTAGGGCGCAAACAAGCTGGTGAAGGTTTAACATTTTAGACAATAACTTTTAGGTGTGTTTGAGACTTCGTGTTGTGTTGTCCTTTTTGCCACCAGTGTCGGAGTTTCGTCTAAAATGTTAAACAAATAATAATCTGATTAAGCTGATGAAATAGCCGCGCTTATCGCAACAAGTTCACAACATGTCCAAATGCAATCGTGAACGATATAAAAAAAAGGCAAGCGCAATGCTTTGAAGATTTGTGTTATTTAAAGATCGAGTCAACACCGACGTCAATAGTGCCAATGAAATAATAAAAAAAAACGTTTATCGCTTTTTATTATGCGATCTTATTATCAATTTCCCGAAAAATGATCGCCCATCCTGGCGACCCGGTGGATTCAGCCACGCTTGACTTTGAACGCTGTCACTGAACGCGTCTGTATTCGGCGAAATCATCATAACTCATGACTGCTGGTGAGACAAGGTGTATCGCCAAAAATTAAACAGTCGCTGAAGCTTCGATAATGGTCGAGCTTTCTTCAGATAGATAATGCGGCAGGCCTTGCGAGCCACGCGCTCGCCGGAGCTTTTTCACATCATCCGTGACATCTGAAACACGTTCGCAAATGACAACGGACAGTTGGGAAGGTTAACTTGAATTGATTCGAATTAATAATCCCCCCCCGTGCTCACTGCAATACCTACTTTGGAGGCATAATCACTCTTTTTAAATTGTTGCACGTTAAAATGGCCTACCTCAATTTTTGTTTCTCCGCTGTTGCCTCCTTGAGAGCAGCCGTAACCGCGGAGGCCTTCAGATCCTCTCGGAGCAGATTTAACGAAGACAGCTCCAGCTGATTTCGATATCCGAGAAGAACGATCCTGGGAAGAGGTGACGCGCAAGATTTGTTCTGCATTGAAACAATCTTAACCAATAATGGCATTGGCAAGCTGTTCCCATTGTAACAAAACAAACACCGGCAAATCCTATGGCGGTACAGCAATACCATCAATTCACGCAACGGAAACATTTTAATAACAAGTTCCAACACTAAAACAAAATAAAAAAAAAGAATTAATGCGCAATGAGCCCCCTTTCGTTTTCTTAAACATAAATAAACAAAATGACGTGTTATGAGTAAAAAGAAAAACAAAACAAAAACGAATCAGTGTTTTACAGAAGTACAGAGACTTTCCGTGTACGGAGGACCGTGTTTTTTTGGCTTGGGTAAATAAACTAAGCATCGCAGAAAGTTCAAACTCTGTGAGAATATGACGTTGGCTTTTAAGATAGAACGCGAATGTTTGAGAACATGACGTTACCTTGATCAAAATATAGTTCAGAAAAACGGAATGTTTTATGATCCGACGTCTAGCTAAGCCTAATATCGTTAAAACAAGAAATGACGCTGTATGAGCGTGTACCATCTATTTCAGTGAAAAAGAAACTTCTCAACCAGAAAGAGGATATTGTTTTCTTTCTTGCTAAAAAGCTTCCACCCCCCCCGCTGAAACAGATACTATAGGCGCCACAGTGTTATTTCTTGTTTTGACGATATTAGGCTTAGTTGGACGTCGGCTCATAGAAAAATTCCGTTTTTCTCAATTATATCTTGATCCACGTGACGTCACGTTATCAAAATGTTTTGATCTATCCCAAGCGCTAGCGTTGCATTACCACGAAGTTCGGGCTTTCTGCGATGCTTAGTTTAATTATTGAAGACAACAAACACGGTTCTTGTTTCACGGAAACTCCCTGTACATTAATATCACTGGTACTCAGAGACAGCGAAACTTGCCATAGTTGCACGTCTCGAATGTATTTATTCACACGTTACTGAAAGAGTAAACACAGCCATGTGTCGCCGTGTCCGTCCCTGTGTGGATTCTTTCAGCAATGCATAATTGCACCAACGTGCTCACCTTCTAAATTTATTCAATCACACATCTCGTTTTCCAAGTATCGTCCAAGTAAGAAAATATACAGGGCAATATTTTTTCTTCGAAACAGATTTTAAAGAAAGGGCGTCCCTACTGCTACGTAATCGCCATTTGACTACATGTTTCTTGAGCTCAGTGGACATTCTAGGGGCGAACAGCCGTTACCGTCTGGTGAGTAATTAACTAAAATTTGTTAAGTAACTTTTTAATGAGTGAAAACAGACATGTGGTTCCAATTAGAAACCTGCTGAACATCTTTTAGAACTTCTGAATCAGCAAGTTTCAGAGAGGATTTGAGCATGCGAGAACCGCACTAGTGCGCTAAAGGTGGCACTCGTGCTGCCGGAGCAAGGCTACCGGTGCGATAAGGCCCCCGCGCGATTTTTTCGTCTCTTATTTTAGCCTCTGGTTTGTACCCGCTGCACGACTGATAACTTTAGAGCACTACTGCGCTTCTCACGCGCTCAAAGTCTTTCTCAAATATTACGCACTTAGTGGTTTTAAATGACGCTCAACAAGTTTCTATAATTGGAACCATAGTCACTAATTATAAAGTTAATTAACGAATTTTTGTTAATTACTCACCAGACTGTGACGGTTGTTCGCCCCCTTTAATGTCCGCCGAGATCAAAAAACATATAGTGAAGACGGCATTCACGTAGCAGCAAAGACTACAGATTGACAAAAAAAAACGTGATTGTCTTCCTCGGCCTACCATACATCCTAAGGACAACCTTTTAAATGTGTGCTTATCGTTCCCAAGGGTTGGCGAATAATGGAGAGTTTTAGGGAACCGTTTTTGCACATCCCACACTGTATGATAGGCCCTCCGTTAGGTACTGCGCATGCGCTATCACAAAAGACTCGCATATGCACAGTTCGTACACGAGGGCCTATCGTACCATATCGGATGTGCAGAAACGGTTCCCTGAAACCAGTCTTGTACACGTTACTAAAAAAAAGTAATCGATTACAATTACTATTACTTTTGGCTAAAAAGTATTCGATTAGATTACTTGATTACTTGACGGCAAAAGTAATTGGACATTACTTAGAGAAGTAATCGTTACTTTTCCGATTACTTTATTGTGTGAAGACACATCTTTAGCGCTCGTAACAATGAACTACTTCCAGCCTATATTTCAGATTTGCACAAGTATTGAAGAAGAAAAACTCCCTCTTCGTGGTCGTTGCACCTTCACATTGCGGACACAAGCATAGAATTTGTTTGAAGACGTTTAATGATTTGGGCGTTCCAGTGTGTGTGTGTGGGGGGGGGGGGGGGGGGGGGAAGCGGAGGGGGTCCTAGATCTTGATAAGCTTGAGCAAGGGTTGTCGCTCAAAGTTTGCGTCGCTCATTTTATTATTCACATGTGGATGAGCTCGCATGTTATACAAAAGAGCAGCAGCTCCAGGATTTGAAACGGATCATGTGTAGTGTCTATTAGCGCTTATGGCCTGAATGTCCAACGGGACTGAATGTCCAACGAGCCTGAATGTCCAATCGGTCACGTGACAGGCGAGACGGAATGTACAACGAGACGAAAGGTCCAATCGAGACGGAATGTCCATCAAGTCTGAATGTCCAACGAGACGAAAGGTCCAAACGAGACGGAATGTCCAACGAGCCTGAATGTCCAACGAGTCTGAATATCCACCGGATATAGAATGAACATTGCAAAGAATATAGAAGACATTTCTTTGTTGTATTGTAGGATTACTGATAGTTACCGCGGTGAAAAATGCGTTCGATGAAATGGGGAACTTGACATTTCGGTGCGGAGATGTCGGTACGCGATCATTTCGGTATGTGGTCGCTTCGGCACCGGGCTTTTCAGTACCGGGATTTTTGATGCACGGCTGTTTTGGTGTGCCGCTGAGCTTGTCCCTCTGACGTTGCCTCTGTGAAGTCCACAGAATGAAATTAAAATTACGCTCGTGTATTTTGCACACTTCATAAAACCCCGCAAAACAATGTATTTATTGTTCGTTTTCTATACTTAAATATAAAGATGATTTCTAAAGTTAAAAAAATGACGTTTAAAGGGTGACAGATGCTACAAGTAAAAGACCGAACTCGTTGACCATTGACAATCTGTCACTCGTTTGATTTTAGAAGGGTCGTTACTCTGGAGCGGAAACAAATGTGGGACACACGAGAGTTCTTATGATCGTTAGTGGTGCTTATCCTCAGCCACAATTTTTCCGTATTGTACGAGTTGCTGTATTTTTCTTATTCGTGTCCCTAGTCCCGCAAACATGATGTCCCTCGCATGGGAGAAAAACGCCTGATTGAATTTTTAGTATTATCTATATTGTTCTGTGAAGTTGGTGTGGTATGTGTAATTACACTAAATTGTATTTTTGTTGTCTTCTTTTTTGCAAAACGAACGTGAAAGTTTTAGACATTTCTGATTGGACTTCTCGGTCCCCAGAAACAAAAATTCGATCCTCATATTAAGTTCAGTGATAGAATACAACGTTCCTTTCATTAAGCCTTTGTGCAGGTAATGCCCTCAAGTGGTGACCTTTTGTCCGCTCATTGTCCGGAGGATTCGGCACATTGACGCTTATCGCGGCGATTAATTTCGCATGCTTCGGCCACCAAAGCGATTACTATTGCAGTGAACCATGTATTAAGCAACAAGTAGGCAACATTAATAATCAATACTTTTTAGGATTGGCTTCCGTCGTTTCTGCCTTTTCTGGTCACGTGGCATGCAGCAATCGCACCGATACGCGCCCAGGTAGCATACCAAGGCTGCGATCGGAATTCAACTGGTTCTAACACTGTCATAAAGCAGCTGCGACAGTGCGACCGTGATTTATTCATTTGCGCACATTACAAGTGCACATATGGCGACGGTATCAGGAAGTCAGCCCCTCGCTCGGTCTTCCCAAATTCCATAATGCTAGAGTTGCGAGCGAACATATTCACGAAGAACCTGACTTTTATCATTTTGAATAACCCGGGTACGATTCACTATCGGACCCTTGCCAATTCTGAGAGCTGCATTCGTCATCCTCTCTTTTTTTTGGAAAGAAGGTCTCATTGTTGACCCCCACTGTCACCGGAAATCTACACACCCAACCCTAATCAATTCTTTTTAGACAGTTTGACAAACGGACACTTTCGCCCCATTCTGCATTCTGCGAATCGGCCTAGGGCGAATAGCTGAGCGGCGTTTAGCAACTTCCGGTTCCTTAGGAAAATTTGTATCACTGTTGAGAAACGACGGCAATGAGCTGGGAGCCCGTGCAAGCATGGTTGTGAACCCCACAGACTGTAGTTTTCAGAACCATGCTTAGACAAGCTTGCCCATATTCGTCGTTGTTTGTCAACAGCTAAACAAAATTTCCTAAGGAACCGGAAGTTTACAAACGCCACTCACGTATTTCCCTATTCGACAAATTGTCCTTTTTCCAGTTGTCCAGAGACCAATGGAATTTCGACGATGTGACTGGATACGTGGTGCAATACGCTTCTTCTACAAGAATAGAAAGCCACGTGGAACGATCTATTTTTTTATTCACACATGATGTAGGCTATTAATACATCCGGGTGTGAACCTTCTGCTGCACGCCGAGACAGATGCGTTCGCGTCCTGACTCCTTTGTCAGCAGTCAAGCTCCTACCTACCAAGACGACATGAACTACCTCGACAGCATGGCGAGTTTTGGAGTGCTTCCAGAAGCCAGTTAAATTACATGGGCTCCTGAAAACTACTATGTATGTCACATGCAACAAAAAAAAAGTTGCGCACAGCTTGATACTAGTATTATCGCTCTACTCACGACATACAAACCTATTTGCAGGGAATGCATGCGTATGTAAATTACTGACGACTGCAGTGTACAGTGAGTAGTTGTCTGTTCTAGAGATAAACGAACAAAAACAAAAATTTGTCAAATCCACACAATTGTTTTGCATTTACTCAGGAATTGTCGGGTCATACCAGCCACCACCCCCATGCATTTATAGACGCGTTAGATGTAGATTTTATTTAAAAAAAAAGATATCTATATTTTTTTATTAGCAGGAAATTACGCTTGTGCAAACTCTTGATGCCTCGCACCCACAGCTTCCAAAGGTCCTCTTAAAAAAAATTAAATATTGACTCTGCGCATAGTCAGTGGCGCTGGCGGACGGTCATGTGTTTACAGTGCGGGTCTCCGTATGTAGCTCATCTATATAAATCGAAATGGGCAGGGATGAGGACTGAACTAGGAATTCCTGGGATATGAAGCGTGGCTTTCATAGACGTCCCCCAATTGCGATGCACTAGAACACCCGGACATTGCATCCCTATTATATATTTCAAATTGGCTGACCTATGTCATCGGAACATTCCAAACATTTGAGCTATTAATATTAAAGGAGCGTTTCGCGTCGTACAATCGACACCTTTATCCGATTGGTGCATCGCTGCGCATCGTCACTCGGCTAACTAACCATCAAGCCTTCCTATAGATGAAATTATAATATTTGTGTCTGCTCTGTTTCTTTGTCGGTCCGTCAACGTCGGCTCTTGTGGCACGACATTTTAGTATGATGAAACTACAGCAATGCCTACAGGAACGCGGACTAAATATGCACACAAGTTTGTACATTTAAGAAGGAAAATTATTCTAGCACGTGACAGGCGAGACAGAATGTCCAACGTGCCTGAATGTCCAACGAGACGAAAGATCCAACCGAGAAGGAATATACAACGAGCCTGAATGTCCATCGAGACGAAAGATCCAACCGAGACGGAATGTCCAACGAGCCTGAATGTCCATCGAGACGGAAGATCCAACCGAGACGGAATGTCCAACGAGCCTGAATGTCCAACGTGCCTGAATATCCATTATTGGACCTTCCGTCTCGTTGGACATTCAGGCTCGTTGGACATTCCGTCTCGTAATCGTCTATTAGCGGAAGAGATCGCCCCGACCACTTCTCAACTCGAAACCTTGCTTGTCACAAAGACCACGTAGGGGAAATGGGGAAATATTTCAACTGGCTTTGTTATATTTTGCATCCGCTTTAGGCATTCCTCGGTTCTGGTTCTCCTACGGGCTGCGAGTAGGTACCCTAAGCAGGATTTTTTTTTATTTTTTATTTCTGTGTGTGTGTGCGTGAGGGGGCTAGTTTGAACCAAGGACTCACAAAGCTACATTCTGCCTCCTCAAACTTCGCCCTGGATGGTTTTTGTCATGCACTGTGGCTTTCCTAAGGCTTCCCACTCCCAGTCCCAGCTCGAAAAAAAAACAAAAAAAAAAAACGGACATTCCACAGAAACTGTACATAGAAAGAAATTGACCTCGTTTCCTACAGCTCCGCAAAAATATTTTTTTCCGTTCAAAAAAAAAAAAAAAAAAGCGAATTTTTTTTTTTTTTGTCATTTTATAAAAAAAAGGTGTGTGCCGGCCCGGGGGGGGGGGGGGGGGGAGGGGGGGGGTCCCGTGGACAAATTGTAACGGTTACAAGTAATTTTATTACTTCAAAAAGTAATCAGATTACTCTAGTGATTACTGCCTAATAAAAGTAATGAACTGATTACAAAATTACTCCAAAAAGTAATCGATTACAAGTAATTTGATTACTTGTAATGCGTACGGTACAAGTCTGCCTGAAACTCTCCATTGATACTACACCTAATAACAAATGGCCCTCTATAGGAAGTATTCACTGGCGGCCATAGCTGTGTGCGCGACTGCTAAGCGCGTGCGGATGGCGAGCTTCTACAGTTATTTTGTAACGTGCCTTACGCACCCTCAAGATTGCCGGTCTTAGGAGCCCATTAATGTGGGCTCGTTCTAAGCATGCGCTCTAAACAGCACCCACAAATACGGCGCCCAGTGAATAATACTTATAAGCACGGTGCCTAGAACGCGTCTTTGACTAGTGCGTTTAGCGTCCCATTCCGCCCACCCAACGGAAGTGGTTCCGAAATGGCAACAAATGACGTCAAAAAAGCCGGAGTGTCCTGCTGTCGTACGTCGCGATCCTGGTGAGTGGTTGTAGAACTTCTGGCAAAAAAGCACGAGCAAACGCGAGTGTCGCTGTCATCGCGGCGTCCAAGCTTCTGATTGCCTCAGCTTCCGCGGGTTGTCACACCAGAGAGCGAGCTGCAGCAGAACAGTCGTCTTCCACATGCAACAGCGCTGCTGTCACACCGTCAGGATCACTGCCGGCGGCAGCACGACACTTCCCTGACGTGACCAGGTGAAATATGGAGCCACCACTTTTGTGGACGCGGTAAAAACACCAGTGTAGACGCGTTCCAGTCACCATAATGTAAGGGCGGAATAATGCAAAGGTTGCTCACCTCCATGTGTCGGCGAAGACTAGTCTCTGGAGAAACTTCCACCCCATTGGAAAGCAGCGACTCTGTAAAACGATAAGAAATAGATGGAAACATTTGTAAAAGTACGAAGACCAGAAAGAGAGGAAAAATGTGCTTTGCGGGTGGAAGTTGTTCTATTTTTGTTTTTCATAGTACAGCGCCAGCTGTACTGAACTTGTCTTACTGGGCGAGCTCCGTGTCGCCAAAAATGAACGGAGGATGCGAACGCTCATCGCAGTTGGCTTTGGCGCCGGGAGGGGGCGCCACCCACTATTTCAAGCTTTCGGTCGCCCCCTCGCTCGACACTCGATCGCTCGGTCTCACCCTTGCTGTTGGGTTGGAACGCATTAGCTGCTCTGTGTGTGATCGATTGCAGTTTACGCGAGACCTGGTGTTTTCGTCGGCGGTTTGCCACGGAGTTCTTCTGTCTTCATACCCGGACATTGATCTGACTGCCTTCATGGTGCCACGCAATGTTCGTGCTGGCAAAATCCCGAGTCTCGCCGCACGCTACGGGTGGATACGGATACCAGCCGTTGCCAGGGGGCCTGCCTGAATTGAATATAGTGGGCGAGCATTTGATGTTCACTAGGCGCTCTAAGGCTTTCGCGCGAGGATGGGGCGGCCGAAGCATACGCCATACCGCCGCGTAATATCATCGAAATATCGCACCAGCCGACGCTGGCCATTAGCATCACATCATGCGATCGTCCGCGCAGTTTCTTATTTTCAGCCGTAACTTAAAAAAACCGGCTTCTATACTTGACGTAAAACAAGTAAAATAAACTTTGGAGTAGACTAGCTGCTGAGCTACAAATGTTTTTCCGCCAAGTATTATAGCAATACCCATTTCAAAGCACTAAAAGTGTGTGTATGAAAAACTAATCGACCCACGAAATCAACCCAGTAGGCGCAGCGAGCAAATGATGCATCCTTTCGTCTGCTTGCTGCGTCCATCGAGAGACGGCGCCACGCGTTACAAGCGTCGCTAACTCGGTCGTCTGCGAACCCACCCGCCATTGACCCTGGCATTTCTGTGGGTCTCATTTTTAACAGAAAGAAATCTATGCCATTTAATTTCATCAGCTAAGATGTTCCAGCTCAAAGCACAATCGGTGAAAGTTTGTGTTTAGTTTTTGCAGTCGTCGATTTGTTCGGCTCGCTTTACAGCGTAAGATCAGCTGGAGCCGTCCTATATCTACGTTTAATGTTTGTTTCTCCACGGAAAGTTATACCCTTTTACGAGCGTGGAATTGCAACAAAGCAAAACAATTCTAGGCCAGAAACTTGCATAAAAGTGGAACTGTAAGCTAGCGGCTTCAACCCATTATTTTGTGTGTCTGTGTGCAATACTTGCAGCTTTCGTTGAAATATAAATGTTGTGCATTGAGAAAAGTTAGTCCTGAGGCAGTGGTTCTCAACTATTGATGTTTCGCGGACCTGGCGAAGATCATGGAGGACCCAATTTGTGGTGAAGGGAGGGGAAACGTATAGGTTAAATATATTAATGATTTAATAAATGTATATAACTAATGACTAGTGTGAAGTAGACTTCCCTTATTGACATATACACGGGAAAACGCGCCCGGAAACTAAAACATTTCTTTTCGATCATAAAGAATACAACTTTCATTGCCAGGCTTTACTGATGAGGCAGAGCTTCGCGAACCTCTAATATGCCTTTGCGGACCCCAAAGGGTCCGCGGACCCCCATTTGAGAACCACTATTAGGGATACTGGAAAGTCTGTCATTGTCGCTATCCTCCAGTAGAAAAAGAGTCATGGCCACTGCCGCCCTTCTTTTTGTGTTGTGCTGAGGGTGATTTTCTCCGAGTCGATGCAATTTATCTTTCAATTTATTTATAGATACTACCATTTCTCGGAAGGAATACCTTAGGATTGGAACACTATAAAAATCAACATAATCACGGCAAAATCCTATGTAACAAATGAAGTTGGTAGATTGATAGGTCCGACCAGTCTGGCCCTATCATATTAAGAATAAACGTAGAACCGGGTTGGAGATTCAACCGTCCCGAAGTCGGCGGCGACGAGGACTACACCCATCAAAAACAAAAGTAACATGAATCCTTTTTTTTATTTTTATGCTTGACGAAGTATTTAGCACAAGTCGCCTAACGGTGCTTCAGTGTTAAGCTGTTGCTCGTGTTTGATCAGTGAAGCATCGGTCGAAGACAAGTGCCAGCCCAACGATTGAAGCAGCACTTGTGTTTAAAGGGATGGTGAACCGTAATTTGGATTAAAAAAAAAAAAACAATGCTGGATGTGTATGGGGGGACGCTACAATCCCTTCAATACTACTAGTAAGGCGATATCTCAAATGGACGGCCGTATTTTTGGGAAAAGAAGTCGAGATTGAACCAGGCCGACGAGGCGCGTGACCGACAAGATACCTAGTTTCCTCCTCTCTTCGCTTCGCTCCCTCAAGGCCGCGAAAAGGAGAAGACGTGAGGCCGTTCCCTCTCCTTCTCGGAAAAACATGACGTCAACATTCGTGCCAAATGCGCCTCTTTTAAAAAAAAAAAAAATACGGTCATATGTTCGAGATATCGCTGTATAAGTGATGTTTTGGTGTTTGTAGCATCCCGTTGCACGTTTTTGCCGCGTGTTTTGGGGAATCTAGATTTCGGTTCAGCATCCCTTTAAAAGGATGGTAAACCGAACATTTCAGTGTCCATAATGAGCGGCGCAATATCCTTTCATGATTCAGCAGCCGCTCGTGTGCGTAAGCATACGCAACGAAATTGACGTCCTCATATCGCCCATTCACGCTTAATAAGCTCGAATGGGGGATATGATGACGTCAATTTCGTTGCGTATGCTCGCGCACACCGGCGGCTGCTGACTCATGGAAAGATAGTGCGCCACTTATTATAGACACTGAAATAATCGGTTCACCATCTCTTTAAAGGGGCACGCAAGTGGTTTTTGAGTTCGTGTTTTGATGACGACAACTGAATCTAAACGCCTTAAGTATCCCTAAAAACCAAAAAAATATAGTCATGCGGTGAAAATTTTTTTAATAAAAATGTAATTGAAGGTCGCCGAACCTCGGATCCATCCGAAAACGAAACCACTCTCATTGGTCACCGCTCGCATATAAAAACGATCTCGGGCCAATGGCGTTGGACGACGTTCCGCCGCGCAGTGATCCCGAGGTAGCCGCACCGGCCGAACCTCTTTGTCGTTCGAGCTTCGATCATGGCAGAGTTCTGTACGCTCGATGACCTGACGCCGTTAGAGGTTGAAATCCTTCGGCGGACAGCCGACCTGGGCATGATTTCCTATGACGCCACTCCGACGTGCGGTGTGGACAATAGCAGCGCTTCGGAGTCGTGTTCGGGTTCCGAGGACGACGAAACGCAGACCTTTTCGGGCGTTCTTCGATTTGCGGTTGGGGCAAGCCGTAACCAAACAAAGGTTTGGCATCGCCGCGTAACCTCTGGTACGTGATGTCAAACGGTGTCGCCACGTTGACTTTCACCTCGGGAGGACGGCAGGCTGGTTGAGACATGTGCAACGAGCGCGTTACCTACGACTGCGTCCGTTGCAACCGGAGCGACCGGAACGACCGCTCTGCCGCGCGTACACGCACCTGCAACCACAGCAGCAAGCGCAGCGGGTCGGCAGCACGGCGACCGCTTCTACGTCGCTGTCAGCTGTTTCAGCGGCGCCTCTAAAGAGGGGACGCACTGCCACTCAATGCCATAACAGAATATAGACAGAGAGTTTCCTATAGCCTAAAACTTTTTTTTTTTTCATGATAGGCTTTTAGGGTACAGTGGATGAAAAAAAAAAAAAAAAAAAGATTCAGTACGTTGTCTTGGACGATCCCGACTCTAATTCACGACTTTGCCAATAGTACAAATATCGCCACACGCCTTTTCTACGATTAGAAAAGACGATGTAATCTTAGCAGCGAAGTGGCAACGTAGGAACATGATTTCGTGATCAGATAGACGTTGCGAGCGTTCAGGATTGCTAACACTAATCACTTTTCTCCGATTCTCCGATAATGAAAACGCGTGAAAATTCGCATCCTTTATACGGTACGCGCCAGAAATACCTTCAACTTGAGCACACGAATGAAATGCGCCAGAAAAGAAATCCGGGCGATGTTCGAGGAAACAAATGCTTAGAAAGCACCACTGTAGTCGAAGTAAACAAACACGACGGCACGGGCGTTTCTGCTGTCTTGAGAGTACCGCCACGACATCGCCGCAGGAGTAGGTGGATCCCCTTGTAGTACGTGCCGGGTTATCATAGTGACACACGACGAAAATTCACAGTCAAGGATAGCGCTTTTTCGCGGAACGATGAGCTTTCACCATGATGTCCACGTCGACGATCACCGCCGAGCCCGGCACGACCGGCATGCAGCTAGGCGCGAGTTCATGATGCTTGCGCTTCTGCGCATTCTGAGGGAACGGGAAATTCACCCACCGCGGAGGAAGGCAAGGAGAAAACGTAGTCCCTTGTTTGTGAAACGATAATTGCAGTATCGCATATTCTAAACTAACTATTTTACGTATTGCGAAATTATCATGCACAACATATCTAAATGAGCTGAAAATTGTTTCTTTAACGGAACTTTACAAAGGACGTCAAAATTTTCAAACATGAAATAATTTCATTGGTCGGCGCAGGAACAGAAAAGAGTCCGCACGCATTTTATTCATGCGTGATCAATAGGCGGTTCTGCCTTCTAAAACTGAAGATACTCATTCACTGACACTTCCTTCCATCGCACCAAAAAGTAGCTTCCCCAAAAATCACTTGAGTGCCCCTTTAACCTCTGCCCGCGCTTGATCGAAGGTGACGTAAAGGATCCAGCCTACAGGTCTGGTTTGGGGTGAACACCGAGCTATGTGGAAAGCATGCTGGACAAAGCGACCCGTGTAGATCGATCTCACAGCCAAGAGCACTTTCTACAACTGAACATTTAATATATCTACGTACCAGGAGGGACGCTCTCCTTCTTCTAGTTGTCCGCCGTCTATTCATGTCTTCAACAATTTCGTTT